TACTTCACGCATTGCGCAATGCGTGAAGTATCCCTGTTAGGTTTGTAGGCGCCAGTGCGCCGCCGCTCCGCTTTGTGTTAAGCTCTAATATTTAATCTCGCGGAGTCAGCGTTTTTCAACTCATGACTTTGAAATGTTTGCACACTCTGTATGGATTATTCTCATTTTAATTGATGAAAAAAAATATGTAGTAAAGGAAAAGATAATGTGCGTTTTGTAAATATTAAGGTGAGTCCGTACAAACTTAAGGATTTACAAAGCACAATAATTTTTACACAATTTCTTACAGCCTTTTATAGCCGATGGCGAAAAAGCAACAGCTAGGCGATAAAGTGTAAAGCCCGGCGATAGGAACTATAGCCCGGCTGTATAATTTTTTATCGCTTCGTGTGGCCCGGCCGTATAATTTTTTCCACCTTCTACAGCCAGCTACATGATTTTCTATCGCCTTCTTCAGTCGGCTATAAGAACTCCTATGGTATTTTGAAACGCAGCTCCTATCGCCAATTTTACCAGGGATTTGACTCTGGGGAAAATGTGAGAATTCATAATTTCCCCACCTAATATCTAACAACGAATGAAAATCAGCGAAAAGTTATACATGGATAGCCAAAGTATACGAAACTACGTATTTCCATTGCAGTGTTTCAAAATTTCCGTTTTCACTTTGTAGTTTCAAAAAGAAACAAGCCAATTTTACAGCTTGAAAACGCAGAATATTCTCCTAATAGAGAAGAGAAATCAAATAAGTTTTTAAGGAATTGCGTTGACTAGTTTTGCAAAGGCAAAAATAAAGTAAGACAGGAATTCTACAACGTCGCGCACGAAGATACGTGGTTTTGCACTTTTTCATCAACATGTAGGATTAAAAAATGACGTCATACTTAAAAACTTTTGAAGCACCTCTAATTTGATTTGACCCTTTTGTTTGCTTCACACCACTTTCTAGAGAAGAGAGTTGAGTGTGATGTGTAATTAGAAACGATAAAAAAAAGTCGCACAGTGATATCCTATCCACAGGAGCGTAACACATTTGGATTAAATGGTTTTTTACTCATATTCAAGCTCCGTCATTAATTTGTGCGACACTCACAGATCGACCCCATTTTTCTGGTCAATTATTAATTGAATCGTGCCATATTGACGCACGTATGCTAAAAGGAACTACGTGAAAATAATTTAAAGTAGGAACACCGTATGTGCGTTGGATTTGCGTGCCTCGTAGTTCCTTTTGATTCTGTTAACATAGTTCCTTTTAGCATAAATACATCCACATAATAAGGCGCGACGGTTATTGCAACATCTTTTACGATTCGCCTGAATTGCCAAGTGTATAGAAATCCCTCGCCTCGCTGCCGCGCTAAGGTAAAACGCCGTATGAACATTCGAGAGTTGCCAAATTTCCTTCAATAAAATGTTTATCTTCGAGGAAAGTTAGGAATATTTTTCCTTTAAATTTTCAGGAATCTTTAGGTGAAATTGCGAACAAAATTACCTGAAAAACTGGGAGGAAAATATTCATAAGTTTACCGGGAAATTCGAGTGTTAGCAAAGGAAATTTGGCAACGCCTGAAGGTGTATACGGCGCTTTTCCTTAGCACGACAGCTCATCTGCGAAAAATCAGAGCATGCATCGCTGATCAGGCAACTTTATTCTAATTGAATCATCCGCGCCCTTTGTTCTCTGTTTTGTTGGTTCGCCTTTTTTTTCTTAATTACTATTTTTCCTCTCGTCCACGCGCGCTCGGCTTCGCGGCGACGATCAAACGAGTATAACCTCTGCATTTTTTATGCGTCCGCTCTCGAACGATGTTATCTGCGCTGCAATTATTCTTGAAAAAACCGTAATGGAGGATCATGGTCATTGAACCATCGCATTGTCAAAATTAATCATATCATACACTTAAAATGGAAACTGTTTTTATGCACCGAATGGGTCTGTTGCACGCAAGAGATACAGCCAACTGAATACACTTTTTAATGGTGAATTCGCTTGAAAATTATTACACGGAGAAAAAAAACTTCGCGCGTGGGACCCGAAGTTTAGGTCATATGGATCTCTGAAGTTTTCGGATTGAGCATCTGAACATTTTAGATCTAGCTGTCGAGGTTCGGATCACACATCTGAAACTTCAGTTTTTACATCTGAAGTACTTCAGATGTAAGAACTGAAGTTTCAGATGTGTGATCCGAACCTCAACAGCTATATCTAAAGTGTTCTGATGCTCAATCTGAAAACTTCAGAGATCCATATGACCTAAACTTCGGGTACCACGCGCGAGGTTTTTTTCTCCGTGTACGTTGGGCACATCAAAAAAGTCTGAAATCCGTTCCTTAACGCGGAATCTGCGTGGTAGAAGTGCGAAGAAAATTCTGCAAAAACTTCAAGGAATGGTGTTAATTTGTTCTGCTTTAGAAAAATAACATGGAGGCGGAGATTTTCAGACACCGCAACCGAGATATGTGATTGCGAAGTGCGGACTTACGCCGTCGATATGTTGCAGTTTTATTTGACGTCATGTGTCAATGGACTACATTCTGAAATATAGAATTGCTGTTTTTGACTCATCTATGAAAGCGCCAATCTGCAAACGGAAATTAAGAGTAAACACCTTGTCTCTAAAATAAGGTAAAAATAGTAGTTCTTAATATTGCAAGATGAGTGTAGTCCAAATTTCCTGTAACATGGGAATTCACATAGTCTGGATCAGCTGAGAAAAAAATGTGGTAAAAAATATCGATTTTTAGTTTTCAGAGTGCTGTTCCCTTTTAATACTCTCAAGTGTTTCAGGTCGACTTGTAATATTGTTACAAACGAAAATATTTTTGCTGAAGGTGGTAATAGCAATAATGCCCCCATACTTTTTTTAGAGGTTCATTGTGCTTGTGCAAAATGAGGCAAAATTAACTCCTCTAGGCTAAGGTTTAATTACTTAATTTTCATTTCATGTTTTTATTTCACCTTCAGTGTACCATTTTGCTTGACTTCACTTCTACGTACATATACATGTTCAATTTGACCGAAAAGTATGATTGGGGCAGATTCAATCTACTTAAGTTTATCACTCACAATTTAAATAATCAAATTATGGTTATAACTGCGGTTCCATTTTTGCAACTTTTCTGGTTTTTTTTTTTTTTTTTTTTTTTTTTTTTTTTTTTTTTTTAACTCTAATAAAAATGTATCTTACCATGCCAAAATATTAGCAAGAATTATACTTCGTAAAATTACGGAAATCCAGAGGGGTAATATGTCGAGGTACTTTAATGCTTCTGACTGCATGGCAAAGAAACACACCAGAAGCTGAAAAAGTCTAGCAGCATCAAATGTGTTTTACAAGCACATATTTTCAGATTGTTCTTTGATATTCGAGATAATTTTTCTTTTAAAAAAGAACAATGCTTCGATTGAGTCAGCTTCTAGCAAGAAATGCATATTGATTTAAAGTATAATCCTCTCGACTAATAATCAATGCTTGAAAAGCAGATCCTTTGTTTTTGTAAAAATAGGGCGTATAGATCCAGAGTCAGTGGTCCACTGATTTATATGTGTGTGAATATTTTTTACGTCTTCGCAGAGGGATCTGTTATTGTCTGATATGCTGAAAGCTTTCCTCGCACAAACTAGATTAGGTAACTGTAGTGCCGACAGGTTATCAAACGGAATAGTCATTCATCAGTTTCCTCCTGATTGACGGGTGATTTTTAAAATAGCAGCCGATTTTCATGGTCGTCTCCGTTTACGTTACTTCACAGTTGTAGCAGTGCAAAAATTGTATTAAATTAACAAGTATTTAGTGCAGCAGGTAAGACTACTGTCTTAACTGGATTATCGTTGTTTGCATTTAGGAAATATCTTGTATAACTCATATGTGTTTCATTTTCCTGAAACCTTGTGCTATATTTCAGATTATTAGGGCTGTTTAGGTCATAGGGTTATCAGGTTATTGGGGACTTCAATAAACGCATTAATATTCGGAAAAAAATATGTGATATTCAAATCGATGACAAATGAATAATAAATAAACATGCTTACAGGAGTTACTTGCTTGTTGTGACATTTTCAGTACAAATTTCGTATCTTCTGTCTTCTCTCCTCCAATTAAAATACAACCAACTTGATTAAAAATTACTTTTATGATTTCGCGATTTAAAAAAAAAGAGGAAAAGATAAAAAAACAGAAATTATATTATGTGTCCGTCGAACCTACAAGTTATTGGAAGCAAATCTGAAGAAAATTAGCCATTACTAAAAATGATTTCCAATCAGTTTTTCACTTTCTATTTGAGGCTTGCGGTGAAAGGAAAAGGTAAAGGAAATTATCTAAGAAAATGCAAAATATTTAGTTTACCTACAGAAAACTTTAAAAAGCTATTTAACTTAATTTTCAGCACTAAAGTAATTTTGGTGTATTTTACGGTAGTGCAATTTCCTGTGTTAAACCTAAATTTGCCAAAATTAAAGATCTCCTGCATCAAAAAAGGAAGGAAATATGTGTGAAACTAAGCTCTACTTTTTTGCCTGATGTATGAAGGGATGATTTCAAAAGCCTTCGTTCGGTATGGTTTTTTGCAAGCGGAAAGTTTGAATCTACTGTTCATAACGTAAAGATGGAACATTTATTTCTCACTTCTGAATTAATTTTGGAAGCTCTAGATTTGGTCATGAGTTTTACGTGGAATGATAAAGGCACGTGCCTTTTAGACGTCTGGATCTTTCCTTTCATTTAGTTCCGCCGGCATGATATTATTATCTACGAGCAAATTATCCCCCCAGAACTAATGAAATTTAACACTCGCAACTTTTAACTACACTGATTTCACCTGAAGTTTGGCAATGATGGATTTGGCACATGCCTCGACCGATCGTGGCTAAACTTCAAAGCCGTGCAGCATGGTAAAAACTGGATGAAACCAACCGGACCTTTGATAGCCGCTCAACTTGGGATTATCTGGATGCAGGACCCCTCTCTTTAGCCCGCTGACTCAGCCATGGGTTGAAAAGTCCGAAAACGAAACTGCCGATTTAGAGAACCGGATCATTCTGAACATAAATGTATATGCATATTGATGACAGGCTTCACACTTTTTTTTCAGCACTTTAAGCTGTGCGTTCCACATTGCAGCATTCTCTATGCAACCCCGTCTAATATCGGTGCGAGAACTGGACTTCAGGAAAGCCACGCTGAAAGTTTAAAGTTCGAATCAGTCCGTCCCATCTTGAATTTTGCCGTAGGAATGCGGAAATTAATGCACTTAATTGTTATCTCCTGCCAGCGTATAGTGTTTAATCTGTGATCTTCTCCAGCAAAGGAGTCTTCGGTCGTGTAAAAGTTGTTTTGTCTTCTCAAAATACATAAAAAACTGATTAATATTTGTGTCGTGTCTGCTCAAGTGGTAGCTTGTTTCAAAAATTAGTGAATAAATCAGTGGTGCCTGCGCGGATGATTAAATTCCCCACAAAAGCGTGTAACTTCAGGTGCGACAAAAGAAAACATTAAATCATACAATCTACAACGCCTTACAATCAAAAATGTTCTTCTAACTCATATGTGCAATACGAAGTGTGCCTCTTAAAATTCTTGAATTTCATTGGTTCGGATTCGGACAAGCGCGCAGGTCAGATTGCATACATTTCTCGTTTGTTTACTTTAGAAGAACATGCAGTAAAAAGTACTTGATAAATAGCGTTTTTGCTATTATTACTACTGGAAAAAATTGGATGATTTTTATAAACTGCAGAGAAATGTTGACAAGGCTTTGATCCATCGCCCAAATATAAGTGTTACTGATAAGTCTCTGCAAAGGATGAGTTTTCATTTAAAACTGTGATCTAATTTTGATGAAAACTTGAACATGAATTTTATTTATTTTATTTTTTTAAGAAATTTCAGTCCAATGATGTAGGTGATGCACGGCGTCATAAAAAATATAATGTAGAAAATTTAAAACATCTTATTTGAGGTATATTTTTCGCTTCCTTATTTCATTCATTTCTCTTTAGTTTTGCGATAAGCATACCTATTTTTATAAGGATTTAGATCCAAAATTATCATAACCACGATCTTAAACTTCGAAATCCGATTCACGTAAATCGATTTGAACCATGAATATTCATCCATGTCCGCATTATGTCGATCTTCCTTCTAAACTTTCCGTATTCCTTCGGCGAAGTGTCAAGTGGAGGTTGGTGGAGGTTCAAAAAGCCGGAATGCCTTCAATTATTATAACCGCAACACGCACAACCGTTGAGCTCGAATAGTTGCATTCCTCCAATAAATTAATAAAACTGAATCGCTCAATCACTGATTTTTTTTTTGTGCTTGACAAAAATACATGAATGTCAATTTCAATTTCACCTGCACATTTCGCAATTTTTCTGTTACATTAATGATTACGGTCAATAAGTTTGATTTTATCATGATCTATATCTTCCATTTTTCAGAGATTCACCATGATTCTAAATTACGGCGTCGTTCTTACACTTCCTCTTCTAGTTGTCCTCTTGCCGTCTCTACAAGGTAAGTGAATTTTTGGAATTTTTGTGATCAATTTCTAATGATGTTTACTTTAATTAATGTAAAAATTCAGATCATGGCAGCCCGGATGTTGGTTGTACAGTGTCAATTGATATATGAATAAAAAAAACTGTGCTTACGGTACAAAATTGTACTTGCGGTGATATATAATATACCCTGTTCGATTCAATTTATATAACCAAGTCCATTAAATTGCTCTTATTTTCATCAAATGCGGCAATTGTTATCACACAATTTTCGACAACGTGAATTCAGCATGCTGCAGTGCTTCTTTTCAACCATTTGTGCCTAATTAAAAGTTCTTTTCCCCCGCATATTGGATATTGCAAAAACATTCCTACTTCCTCCTATTGCAGTTCGTATTTTAGATTAATAGAATAATCAATCCTACATCCATAGAAAAGACTAGAATTTTAAGACGTAATTAAGAATATCAGCTGTCGCAAGTCCCAAATTGTGCACTCTGGAAGATGTTAATATCAGAGTAAATTTTCTTCCCGGAGGTAGTAGAAGAAACAATGTTGAATTTATCATAGTAAATATGACAGTACAAATTATATTGTACTGCATTATTGTATTTACTAATATAAAAGCGCAATCAATCCCAAGACTTAAATGTAAAATCTTGTCTGAAATACGGCTTTAATTTGATGAGAGGTAGACGTAAAATTTTCTGACGATATCGAATATAATCCCAGATAAAATGTTCAATGTTCCAGGTTTCTTTTTTCTTGATGAAAGTTTTGGCTTTTTCAAAGTTTCCGCCAACAAGTAATTCCAAAAACTTCCATTCACTTCAATTTTGTTCGGTAAAACTCTAAAAGGGTATATCTACTTTGTACTTACATTTTGTCTTTGCTTGTTTTTTTTAAAAAAAAAATATGTTTTCACCATTTTCAGGAGTAGACAGTATAAACTGTTTCCAGTGCAATTCCATGGTTGATTTAGACTGTCCCTACATTCAGCCAAATCAGACTAGCAGTATCTATTACAGGCCTTGCATAGGAGATTTCAAAGGAAGACAACCATTCTGCCGAAAAATAGAACAGAAAAGTAAGTCTCGATGAAATAATTCCATAATTCTTAATTGATTACATGGCGCGAGCAGGGCGATACATCATATCAAAGAGTATTTCGCATTAAAAGTTCATATAAAATACGCCGGTCTTATTGACAATTTCCGAACCACCTACTTTACTATTTCACGTCGTAGTATTCCGTACTTTAACTACACGTACTTACTTAAGTTAGAAAAAAAAACGTTTTTGTTCATAAAATTAAACTTCTCGCTCTTGAGAAAATCAAAATGCACATATAAGTCTCACCGGCCACTAATATAATTTCAGTGTGTTTTACGGTGAAATTGTTTTTTCAGTTTGCCAAATTTTTCTTGACAAGATCACAGATTCTGTGCATTAGAACCAAAGAATGTCGAAACCAAACTGGAATTAAATGCCAAAGAATATAACTTTGAGTTTTAATAGCTCATTTGACTTACGCTAATTTAGGGTTTTTATTTTTCAGGAGCAAACATTTTGGATTGACAAGTTTTGATATGCTCAATAAGCGTTAATTTTTCATGCTGGAGTTGAAATTCTGCATTTCGACTTGTTTTTCACATCTCTTGAGAAAAAACGTTTTGTGATGCTTCCCCCTTGATTCTTTACTCCGTGGTCAATCAGAATTCAGACAGTCATTTTTAATCAAACAAACCGACTGTATTAATCCCACACACAAATAATCACTTACAAATAAATAATAATTTAGAAAAACCTTCAATTTTACTCATAAAATAAAATGATTAAATTAAACAAAGCGCCCTTAATTAGCGTCATCGCGACAAATGTGGAGCTTCGGTGATAATCATAACGCCTTCATGCAACTATTCGTGTTCTTTGGATATGCATGTTGCATAACAAAATATTGAAGGCACCCTGACACACCTAGCACTCGTAGGTACACGCCTTTGGCTTTTCCTGGGCGCTCGACCATATACTCGCACTTTCGCCCCACTCAGACCCCACTTTCGCCCGACTTGCCTTTTGCAATCCCTGCTACGTACACCGCTTTACTGAACAACCTCTCTTTTGAAAATACAAGCTCTCAAGCGATAGGATTTTCGAATCAAGATAGCGATACTACTTCCTTGCAGAGGCATTAGCTTCATGAAACGTTTAAATTACATTTTTCAAGTCATTTTCCGAGTATCATTACGCGGAGCAGAGTTGGCAGCGAACTCGAGGTAGGTACTCCTTNGGGGGGGGGGGGGGGGGAGAGCTCTTTCCATGTTTAGATCCGAAAGAGGAGGAGGTAGAAGGGAAGGAACAAACCAATTACATTGAAAATCCTCTCCTTGAATAGCTTTAATATTACTGTACCGCCACTCCGCCGTCGAGTCGTAAGTAAGAGAGTCGTAAGTCAATTACAGTGTTGAAGTTTTTCTTCGTGCGGGATATTTTTTCGCAAGGAAACATGCCAAATTTTTCGTGTGGTTCTTATCACTTATTTTATCCCATACATACATCTAAGAACATCCGCAGCAGTTTATTACCAGGCAGTAGCCTTCAGTTTCTTCGTTAGGAAACAAATTGCATGAAGAGAGACCGGAACTTCGTTTATACTGACTTTATTTATCTGAATGACAGAATTGACCAGTAACATAATTAAAATGTAGTCTCCTCAAAGAAATCTAAAATTTGCACGTCGATTTGTATGTATGTATGAGCCGCTTTTACGGCGCGCTAGGGCGCTCTGCGACGCCTATTCTCCACAGGAATCTGTCATGGTAGAGATCCTCCGGAAGCTGGCATCTCTCCATCTCTTCACGGATGTCCTCTACCCACCGCTTGGCTGGACGCCCTCTCCGTCGCCTACCTGGGGGGACCCACTCCAACACCTTCTTCGCAACCTGGTATCAGCCATTCTCTGCACATGCCCATACCATACCAATTGCTTGGTCATGATATCGTGCACAATCGTCCCCTCAACGCCCATTATCTCTCGGACACGTTCATTCCTGACACGTTCTCTCCTCGAGATTCCAGCCGATCTTCGCCAGAAATCCATCTCGGTCGCCTTGAGCATTTCTTGGGTCCGCTTCTTCAACTGCCACACTTCACTGCCATGGGTGATAATAGGCTTGACAACCGAGTTATAAATCCTCTTCTTGTTGTCTTTGGAAATCCTTTGGTCCCAAAGGATCCCATTAAGCATGGCGATGGCTTTCCTTCCTAGAATATTACGGTCCCGAATGGCCTGATCCAGCTTCCCATCCGAAGTCAGCTTCACCCCCAGGTACTTGTATTGTTCGCAACTTTCTATATGTTGACCATCCTCCAGGACTATGCTTTGCTGAGCACCTCCGACTGACATCTTTTTTGTCTTACGGACACTAACCTCGAGGCCCCATTTGCGGTACTCCTCCACCAACTTCCGGGTCATATACTCCGCGTCATCGTGATCTTGACTTATGACTACCTGGTCGTCAGAAAAGCATAGCGTGAACAGTGTTTCTTGGTCATTCAGAGGGACGCCCATGCCGGCACACTTTCTTTTCCATTCCTTCAGAACGTGCTCTAGATATATCTTAAACAGCGTCGGTGACAGACAACATCCCTGCTTAAGCCCCTTGGTGACAAAAAAACCGTCTGAAAGCCTTCCTTGGCACTTGATTCTGGCAAAAGCCCCCCCATAAAACTGCTTGACTGCCCCAATAAGTCCTTTACTAAAACCAGTTTCTTCTAGGACTTCCCAGAGTTTCACAAGAGGAATACTATCATAAGCCTTTTCAATATCCAAAAACACTAAATGAAGCTCCTGGCCAACAATTCTCTTCTTTTCGGTTAACTGGGTAACACAGAACAGATGATCAGCGGTAGACCGACTAGCCCGATTCGATTCCACGTCGATTTCCAAAGTGCAAAACCACTCAATTGCATTGTGATGTTTCGACATTTTTCCGCACAACAACGTGCATAACAGTTGAGTCGAAGCGCCAAGATTGAAGTTGTTAAATTCATAGCCGGAATTACGTAATTACCCCCCCCCCCTTACAAAATGCCGAGGTGTCATGCCGCACATTGGCACATTGCATACCCAACCCAGTTTTTAAATGCAGATTTTCGGACTCTTTCATCGACTATTTTGAGGTCTAAAGCTATTGGTTACCATCTTGCACCTGATTCTTCTGGATTGAGTTGCCCCGTTACGCGTTGCCGCGCTGCCCTTTCGGCAACACGGTATACGCAACAGCGTCGAACCTTCGTTTCTTTCTTCGTATATGTTTTTAATGATATGCGTCCTTTCCCAATCTTGCTGAAACTGAAAATAATTGTTGCAGTTTTCGAACGGGACGATATGGTGCGAGTAGTGCGGAAATGTGGCTGGCAGCGACATGACAAGCTAGACTGCTACTCGACCGGCAACGAAGACCACACAGAAACGATCTGTCAGTGTTTCAGCGACGCCTGCAATGGCGCCGATACCTCCAGTTTTTCTTCCTACAAAATTTTCACGGCACTTCTGGTCGCGTTGACCGTCAGCCTCAGGAGGTCTCTTTAAACCCCTTTCTCTATAATTCCATGGTAATTCAGATAGCTATAAGGAAATGAAACAAGTATTAAATATTTTGTAAAGCCAAAGCTGAAATTACCGGTTTTTTTTAAAATCCCTTTCAACAGTATACTAAAAACTTTTCATATAAAGAATACACTTTTTTCTCATTTACTCTTCTTTTTTAACGTAAAAATGCAACCTTGACCTAGATTTATCACCCAAGTAGCAGAGACTTCGAAAAATTACGATTACGCGGTTCATTGCTGTGAATTGAAGTTGTGCATGTTGCATGTGTATTAATTGAAGGGGCTCCACTTATTTCAATTCATTGAATTGAATTGAAATGAGTTACAACTTTTATTTGCTTGCAAATTGCCTATCTTTCGTTTGGTGGTTTAAAATCAGCCTTCATTGACTAAATTGTGCAAAAGTGTTACACGATTTTGCCGTAGAAAAAAATACAATTTTATTCCAAAATTTTTGTCACGAAAGTTTACTTGGGCGGGAGTTCCTTTGAGTTGTCAACCCAACCCAACCCAAATTTGAGTCAACCGTTAGATGCCCGATGGCCCGATCCGGGTCAAATTGACCAGAGGCTTGCTAAGGACGTACGTGGCTTGCGGGTTGTATGGGGTCGGTACTCACAAGCTTTAGATATAGATCTACCAATATATCGTAAAAAAAAAAAATCAGACATCAACTTGAAAAAAACCCCCTCAGTTTTGTACTGGTACTCATTAAAGTTTATTTTTGACTCGAATTTTATTATATTTGACAAAGAAACCCGCACAGAGCATGGGGTCAGCGGCTCTCGATGACAATCGATGAAACTTTAATAGATTGATATAAAGTTCATAAAGGAAAGCCAAAAAATTAGCTCATTTTTGCGAGGAGAAACCGAGATATTCGCAATTGAATCCGGACTATTTTCTATCATGCCGCAGCATGGCGAAAGAATTCCGAGTCCCTCTCCTCTCGTTGTTCGGCGTTTTCGAACAGACCTCACGTCGCTCACGTCCCTCACGTGAAGATAGACGCTATTAGTGGCGACGTCATCATAGGGATTTTCCATTATATCGAATTGGATCCAAACAATAACATTGGCATAACCTCTTTCAATGCTACCAGTGCGAAAAAATCGATATATATCGCTTTTCTGTGACGTTGCACTAATAGCGTCTATAGGTGCTTATGCGCTCGGCCGGTCCGAATGCCGTACTCCCTCCCTCTTCCCGCATCTGTCAATTCTGTTTCAGCAACTACATTTCAGATTAAACCGGCCGGCGGCGCGGCGCCGGCCGGCACGGGAGAGGTGCGAGAAGCAGGGAACTCCATATCGCACAGCCCGAACGGAGCGTCCTAATGAAAGGAGTGAGTGTAAACAATGCGATATCGTAGTTACCTGGTGGGGAGAGGGGGTTTCCTGGCCGAAGTGTCCAAGCAAGGTAAGGCGACACGGAGAATTTACCTCCGCCGCACAGAAAATAGTCCGGATTCAATCGCGAATATCTCGGCTTCTACTCGCAAAAGTGAGCTAATTTTTTGACTTTCTCTTAATAATGAACTTTATATCAATCTATTAGAGTTTCATCGACTTTCATCGAGAGCCGCTGACCCCATACTCTGTGCGGGGTTCTTTTATATTATATAATATAAACATATTATAATTTTTTTTTTTTTTTTTTTTTTTTTTTTTTTTTTTTTTTTTTTAGTTCTTCCGGGAGAAAAAGTGGCGAATCTTATCGAAGATATGACAATTTAAGCATCTTGTTCCGCCGGCTGTGTGAACAAAGTCGGGGGTTTCGATTTCCATCCGTTTCGCACTACCACCCCAACATGGGGTGGGTTTCGGCCAGATGGTCATCTAGATGGTTAAACTATCATATGTTGGTTTAGGCTCTAATTTAGAAAGTTGCTCTGATCAGGAGCTGGCTAGGGAGATCGGGGACCGAGGTCGAGCCGACCAACTAAACCAAACTCACGGCTGCGTGTCTGCCCGGATAATGCCGGAATCATCCCAAACATATTATAATTGACAAAATTTATTTTTGACTCTAATTATAATTTTTGAAACTTTTCGGCTTCGTTTATCCCGCGAAATGGTGTGGACCCAGCACCATTTCTCCACCTTGTTACATATTGAATCAATCAATATCAATATATTCTCACCTGTGTGATCTATATCGAATACGATCCATAAAAACCATCGAGTGAACTTGCCGGTGGGGGAGGGGTGTATGAAACGCGTTTACACGTAGTGCATAGTACACCTAGTATGTGTACTACGTCACATGTACGTGTTGGGCACATTTTTTGTGAAAGCCCTGTCAACACTAACAAAAGTTCACGGAACTTTGCGCAAAAGTTCAGTTTCGTAAACCCATCCCTGTTTGGACAAGGCATTCCGTTTATAACAAACGAACGAAAAAATTATGAAAGAACAAACGTAAATGTAGTTAATAATTTTAACTTCCGCCGCCGTTCCGAACGCACTGCGTTGGGCGCAATGCGTGAAGTATTCATGCAATCTTGTAGGCGCTATGCGTTTCAAGCCGACTGCTGCTGACCGCTGTGTGTTGGACGCAATGCGTGAAATATTCATGCAGTCTTGTTGGCGCTATGCGTTTCATGCCGACCGCACTGTATTTGACGCAATGCGTGAAGTATTCATGCAGTCTTGTAGGCGCTAATATGTGTTACATGCCGACCGCCGCACCGAGGGCTTCTCCTGTTCATCTCAGTCCTCGTCATCATTTATCTCTGCGCCGCTCCGCTCCAGGTCAAATTGCGAGTTTGGTTTCTGCACTCTTAACTCGACTAATTAAAGGTTCTGTCTCTTGTTTCACCGAAAGACGACAAAATCAGAAATTACCACACTACTACTCTTAAAAAATGAGAGATTTTGTCGCATTTTCTTGATGTAATTGATTTTCTGAATCCGACTTTTCTCTCTCTTTTTTTGATACCTACATTCAAAAAGATTGCAAAATTTGTCGCCCCCTACATTTTGCCGCCATGGGCCGCGGCCCACGTGGCCACCCCCTTAATCCGGCCCTGACATAAGTACATACCTGTCGCTTTAGATTTAGAGTGCAGCTTATTTGTACGCTAAAACAAAGTTGGAAAAGTTCAGCTCCCCGGTTTCCAATATACTGCCGTGCTAAGGAAGAACGCCGTTGAACATTCGAGAATTGCCAAATTTTCCTCCATAAAACGGGCGTTTTTGAGGAAAATTGTAAATATTTTTCCTTGAAATTTTTAGACATCAAAACAGACATCTTTTTCAGTTTAAATTACAAACAAAATTATCTCAGAGATTGGCGGAAAAATATTCAAAAATTTTCCCGAAAATTAGTGATTCGTTGGAGCAAATTTGGCAACGCCTGAGGGTTCATACGGCGTTTTTCCTTAGCACGGCAGAATAGGTGCCAATACATAACCTACATTTGGCGGGCGATTTTCATTGCATATTTGCCTGTTTTTTTTTCAAAACCACGTTAGAACCCACTTCTTAAGTGTTTTTGTGAATCACTTTATGAAGCAAAACCCTGGTGAAAATTGGCAATATAATCTGTGTTCCAAAATACCATAGACTTAATGCCGGCTGTAAGATTTCCAATAGCTTCTGCAACCGGCTATACAATTTCTCATAGCCTTTTATAGCCGATGGCGATTAAGCAACAACTAGGCAATAAAGTATATGCTAAACGTTACTACTTACGGATGCTAGGACTTGGTGAGTTTTTGGACTACTGCTCTCTTTTTGGGCCGTAGTATCTTGATTTATTTTGCGAGGAAAGCTCCGTACTTTTGATGGATGCCTACCATTCCTAATAAATTAGAGCGCCTTCAGTTTCGTATGATACTGTGCAATACCTCTGGTGTGAAATAGTTGCTTCAAGCGCCGTGGCACTAAGGCGGGCAGCCAGCGCGAAACGCGCATTGGCGCCTACAAACCTAACTGGGATACTTCACGCGTTGCGCAATGCGTGAAGTATCCCTGTTAGGTTTGTAGGCGCCTGTGCGTCGCCGCTCCGCTTTGTCCTAGGCTCTGACATTTAATCTGGCGGAGTCAGCGTTATTCAACTCATGATTTTGAAATGCTTGCACATCCTGTGTGGATTATTCTCATTTTAATTGATGAAAAAAATATGTATTAAAGGAAAATATAATGTGTGTTTCGTAAATATTAAGGTGGTTCCGTATCAAACTTAATGATTTCCAAAGCACACGAATTTCTAAACAATTTCTTATAGCCTTTTATAATCGATGGCGAAAAAGCAACAGCCAGGCGATAAAATGTAAAGCCCGGCGATAGGAACTATAGCCCGGCTGTATAATTTTTTATCGCTTCGTATAGCCCGGCCGTATGATTTTCTCCGCACTCTACAGCCAGCTATATGATTTTCTGTAGCCTTCTTTAGCCGGCTATAAGAATTCCTATGGTATTTTGAAACGCAGCTCTTATTGCCAATTTTCACCAGGGAAATTTTAGGGTGAAAAATAGGAAAATGACAAACATTTTTATGAGCTGCCAGGTCTGTTTTGCCCCGTTTCGTAAAGCTAGTTTGCAAGCACTATAAGGAAAGTAATGGGTCGTATTTTTTGACTTACATCGATAAAAAAGAAAAAATGAATAAAATTTGCTTGAAGAGTGAACTAGGTCCTTGTAGTTTTATCACCCCCAGAACCTATTTGAGTGGCCGATTTTTAAATAGTGGAGGCTTAGCTTGAAACCATTTTAAATAGTGTTAGGCAGCTTCCTTGTGGATGAGATTACAAAGTCATTGCTCCTTAATTTACAAAATATTTTAGTATTGAATAAAAATAGGAGAAAGAAAAGAAGATGGGACGACAAAATTTTTAGAAAATTAAAAAGCGTGTATTTCATTTCAAAATAAATACAATATTAACATTTAAACATGGACGGAATGGGATACCTCTGTGTTTACTTGGTAAGAGGCCTGAAAACAAAACTTTATGTGGATAGAATAAGTTTCCAGATAATGATTTTTAAGTGTATACAATTTTTTGTTTTGAAAAAAAAACAAAACAACAGAGGATATGTACCTAAATTATCACTTTTTATAGTAAAACTAATAGCTGGCTGTATTGCTTTTTTGTGCATTTGAATTAGTCAAAGCTTATAGTGTTTTTAAAATGCTATATTCCCAGAATGTTTCCGGAATTTTTCTTTCCATTTTGAAAATTATATTTTTCAGGAAAGAAACGACGGACTTTAGCATCCATATCATCCTGGCCGTCGAAAACTTTACACATTCATTTGTCACTTCAGTTAAATGCTAAAATCCTAATTAATATGAATTTTTTTTCTCAAATTCACTGATTTTTTCATGGTTCTTCCTTCTAATTAAAATTATCTTGGTTTTCCTTGGTGGTTGAAACCCTGATTAATTCAGAATTTCCTCCATTTTGGCAATGATTTGATAAATGAAAACGGACAAATGTGGTAACAAAAATGGAAAGATGGTCATGTGAAAAGATTTTCCTTTCAGATCGTATTTTTCTACTCACAATTGAAATAACACTTCCAACTTCGTATGATCTTCAATATTTTTATATTTCACAGGCAAAGTTTTAAAAGGCACAAACTGGACGGAACGAATATACTCAACAATGTCTTTCGTGGACGGAAATGTTTACAACACACAACATATTTTGATCATTGAGGATTTAGCAGTCACACTAATAGCCTACACAATAAAATGACTAAAAAAATATGGAAAGTATAAAAGTAAACAGTGATTTAAAAAAAAAAGAATATTCTACAACTTGAATTAAAAGAAACACAGAGTGCATTAGTAGGTAAATGTTCACCTGTGCTGTCAGATCTACATATTTCACTGCAAATTTATGGTAACACGTTTTCAGGGTATTATTTCACTCAGTATGTTTTTAAATGGAAACAAAACTTGACTCTTAAGGATTAAATACAATTTTGCAGTTTTGGAAAAATGTAATGATGAACGTAAATATTCGTATGTTTTGATAAAATCTCATCAGAGCAATTTAATACCTACTTTAAAAATGGGCGCTTATAAACTGCTGAAACAATAAATTACCGTTTGTAGAATTGTAGAAAAAATTAGTTTTTCCATTTACATAAAAAATAAAAAAGACAACAGTTTTTAAACTGTCCAAAGTTCTTGGCCTGCCCATGATTTTCATCACATCAATAAAGCTTACAACTAAGTTACAGTTATTTACATTGTGTGCATAAATGGTTGAGATTTGAGATCCTATTGAACAAAAAGGCAACATAAAATATTAATATTAACATTACAAGGAGTATAAAAATAGAGGGTTGGATATGCCAGAAAAATAAAATGAGACAGTTAAGATAGTCAAGGTGTTTTGATCAAGTTGACACCTTAAATTTCTAGAGGAGCTGTACTTGAAAGAAGAAAATCTAATGCCCCTTTAAATTAGTTAGGTATTGAAGTCTGGCCTAATGGTGACTAAATTCGAAAAGTTTGTATCTCAGTTGCAACATTTGAAGATCTCAAATTATTTTTTATTCAATTAAAGGAGAACAATCAAACCGTTTCCTTGCAAATCAGAGTGACTTCTTTTAAAATGAATGGCAAAATTTCAAAGATAATTTCAATAGAAATTGTAGATTGGTTTTCCTTCAAAATAACAATAAAACATGAGCATTGACTCAAAAATCAATATCACAAACTGAGCTACGCTCTTTCCCACTGTAGCCTTCAATAAACTAGTTTGACTGGCTTTTGCTCTGCTCATTATACTTTCTGACATTTCTCATATCAGATTTACTTTCTTGAGTGACAGTGTCGACTTCTTCTATTTTAAAACATTTACCATTCCAAAAACTATTTGGGTATAATCTTGAGTCAATTTTAACAACTGCATGCTTGAGATTCTTAAGTACAAACATTGAGACAATCTATGGTCAAATAAAAAATTCAACATTCAGTTAGACGAAAATCATGTGCTCCCATAATATAGTACATAATTTACACAATAAAAAATGAAATTGACTTCGTTGCATACAGTGTTTTCCTCATTGTATTATTTTTAAAATTCTAAGATAGCAAAAGAGAAGAACAGGCTTATTCGTATCATGCATCATGTCAACAAACGATTTCTTTCCCATAATTAGTCCACAATTTTTCAATGTAGTTCTCTTACGAACTGAGACTGAATACTCTCACTTACATTAATTCTTTCTAACTCTCAAACTACCAGAGAAGTTGCCACAATTCCTTGCATCTTACTCAAAGGAACGTATCTTGTCTTATTGTTTCAGTATTTCTATCAACACTTTATTTTTTAATGGGAAAACCATTGCACAAATTGGGCTGAAAATTTTGGCATCTTTTCACAAACGGGTAAGGAAATCACCAGAAATTTAGATAAAATGCAAAGGTTTCCTTGCAAGCAAATAAAATGTCAGTAAGAAATACTAAAAAAGCAGTCAAGATTTATTCCTTTCTACAGAAAGCCACTAAATATTCTCCTTCTTAGAATAATTTTGTATCATGACTGATTTGACACTTTATTTGGCTGACTTTTGTGGAATTTGATCGCAGGCTTGGTGCCTGAAACTATGAGACTTTTTATTCACCCCACAAGGAGACTTTTTGAGTAATCAAAACTATGCAGTGTATTTACTGATATAGATTTAATACTTATCCATGATTTCAGTATTCTTATCTTAGGTCAGTATATTAAACTAAAAAATTAACCAGTAAGACATGCTATTCCACATTAAAGCCAAGCGATTGCACTTTAAGTTTAAAAGCACAAGGAAAGATAAGATTTAGGAAACTGAACCCACCTTGCAGTTTTTAATGTGCTCAATTTCTTGATGTAGACTTGTCATGAGTTTTTCTTCTAAGTTAAGCATAGTGAAGAGCAGATAAAGTTTGCAATTGCATTACTCTTGAATGTATAGATAAAATAATCACTTACCCATTTTTCATAGATGTATGGTCTTTAAGTTAAGAAAAACAGTATTAATCAGTATCAGGCACTCGTTTTCAATTAATGTCATCTAAATGAAAATTTTGCAATGGATAGGAAACATTTCAGATGTCATCTATTATGTACTTTGTTTGGACTAAACCCAAAAAACCTAAACCGATAAAATCAGTCTAAAAGTTGTGCAATAGGGTTTCTGTATGCTTTCAAACTTAATCTAAGTTCTTGGTATTTTCTGAAGAAAATAAGATCCTAAGATCAGAGATACAATGCTTTTGTTATCAAAGAGGATTCAAGAGGTCAAAAAAATGGCAACGTTGGATTGGACTTTCAGAGTAGTGTCATCATTTGAAAATCTAAAATATTTGAATAGTCTTTGATCTTACACACCTAAAATTGCACTACTGATTAAAAGTTTACTGAAGAGACCAAAAAGTATACAACTTATGAGCGCAAGAAACTTTGGTTGAACGGCTGAAGTGCCATTACAGCTGTCATCAGAGCAGTAGCACTCTTCCCAGTAAACTCCATTTTCCTGGACACCCCAATTGCACACACCTGTCACACCATTTTCTGCCACAGAGCCGCAACGTCTAATGACTTGTCTCCATCGGCCATCCCCTGAAAAAAAAAAAGAATAGACAGGGGTGAAAAAATCGGGAGAGCATGCACAAAGTAGATTCCTGTGGTGCAAAAACCTAATTTTTCAATCGGGCATAAAATCTGTGTAAGTCCAGTATCATCCACAGTAGAAAGGTACAAGGTATAAGGTATTCTTGAGTATGACAACAAATAAAACCTCTACAGGTAATTCTGAAGATAATTCTAACAGTTTCTGAATATTAGAGAAACCCCAGACAGCTTTTTTATACATCTAACTCAAAGCTATCAAAAACTGAGATGCAAGACTTGTTGGTTTCATTTTCATTGATTCATTTTCGACACTGAGTGTTGTAGAGGAAAAAAACTATAAAAATTTATCTCTGTAATAACTCTAAGTGATTTAGTATCTCTCTGGAATCCAGTTCACCCTATCTGGTTTCCATCTAATCATTTACTGTACTGCCGTGCTAAGGAAGAATGCCATATGAACATTCAAGAGTTGCCAAGTATCGTCCGACATAACTTATAGGTGCAATATATGATATTTACTACATATAATGTTTTAGAGGAAAGTAATGCATACCTTTATTGGAAATTTTCAGATATTTTTAATTAAAGTGCGAACGAAATAGTCTGAAAATTTTGAAAAAGTATATTCACAATTTTCCCTGAAAATTCGCTTCTTGTTGAAGGAATTTTGGCAACCCCTAGAGGTTCATACAGCGTTTTTCCTTATTACGGCAGTATAGTCCTCCCACCGTCTATTCAATCTTATTTTAAGCCAACAAAACAAAAAACTTACAAATGAACCCTCTTGGACCCTGCTTGGTGATCTTCATACAAAAAGTTCCTGGTGTGTGGGATTCATCACTAGTACACTCCACAGGAATGTGTTTCTCCTTTTCAAAATCCTTGTACGCTCCACAGGTATCCTCTTTCGGGTTCTGGGCAGAGGAGCACTCATAACAACGAGTTGCAGTACTTTGATCTGAGGACAACAAATTTAACATTAATTACAAGGTCGAGGAAAAATGTTACAATTTTTTAATGAGATCCCGGATGTTATCATGAAATATCTGTGGTGAAACTGCAGAAATGCGTAACTCCATTTGCGGCATTGCAGGCTACCTTCCAAACCTACTTTGTTTTCTACGTGGAAAACTGCTAGACATCATTTTTTGAAAATTTTATTGAAAATTTTTGTGATTTTTCTTCTCGTTAGGTATAAAGAATATCCAGTGAAAATGCCAAGCAATGCTGTTGGTTTTGCCTCCTTTTAAAAAATAAAATAGGAGCGGAGATTTCAGAACACAAACACTGCGACCGAAATACGCATTTTTGCATGTTCATCATCAATATTTGCTTTCTTAAAATCTTGACAGATTTTGAAAAAAACATTAAAATTTTGAGGAGAGAGTTTGAGAGCACTTACTCATCTGTTGATTTTCTATCACCTTCATAAAAACAGAGGGTGAGTTTGAAGTGTGATAGTACACCTCAAGGTTCAATCCCTGATGGCGGCAAATCTAGGCCAATGGTAAGGTCAGGCTTGCATACACAAAAAAGTTAAGGTCAAAGTTTTCATGTAGAGGAGGGATGAGAGCATTCTATGGAGAGCCTAAGACTGCTCTCCTTGCACACATGCAATTGATACTTGCACACTGATGGCTAAACTAAACTTGCTCATCATGAGGTGAGGTAAGAGCCAATTTTTTTTTAATAAAAACATGCAGTAAAAGTGCCATACAAGTGTGAGAAGTGACCTGTTTTATCGTAATGATTCAAAGCTAGTCAGGATGACTTCTGTCTTAGCTGACAATCTCAACGGGGTATGAGAGATACACAACGCAAAAACTCCATATTATGCTGCACAATTCGATCACTGCAGTAGGAAAATCTGATTTCCTGTGATGTCTCCAGTGTCGACGCCAAATAAGTTTACGAACTTTTAGACAGTGACAGGGGATCATCTGATCCCGCTTTTACATGTAAAGTAAATGGAAGGAGCAAGATGGTGGATCTTCTGTGACAGTCTAAAAGTGCGTACCCTTTGTTGGCGTAGACTCTACCAAGTTCTTATCCTAGAGCACCCTGTTCCTTAAAAAAAGAGCGTACCTCAATTCTCATGTGAGCCCTGTTCTTCGCATAATTCTATGCATTCCAGGGCTTATGTGAAAATAGAGATACGGCCTTACATCAGAGGAGCGACAAAATTTACCCTAACACAGAGAGCATGTGTGTGCATACGGAATCGGCATTACTTGAGAAAAGCCTGCAGGAGACCAGCATGCATGTTGCAGAACACTACTGACGGTACAAGACTTAAATTAGCGAGTGGAAGTAATTAAAGCTGGTGAAAAGTATAATTTCAGTAATTTTTTTATGGTTGCGAGAGATTTAGCATCAAATATTGATCTGTCAAGCACATCAAAAATTGTGGGGAAGGTGAAAAGGCAAGCAAATAAAACATGGAAAAGAATTGAAAGCAAATTACTTACGGTATAAGGCTAAATTTATAAACACGATAATTAAAATACTGTAATGGTTAATCATTTTGAAAATTTTTGAAAATTACAAGGGCGGTGGCAGCAAAAACATCAGTTAGAAACGTCAACAATGGTAATACGTTCATACTGAAAACATTATCTCAATTGATATGCTAGCTTCACATTTTTGTGGGTTCATTGGTCTTATTACAAAAAACTCTGGGGAAATAAAAATTAAAATTTATTGAAAAAATTCAGGAAGTTTTTGGATGAATTTTTTTGAGAGTATGAAATTTTGTATTGTTTCAAAAAACGCGATGTGGTAGATGTGGTCATTCATTCCGTAGGTTTCAACTGAGGAGAATGTTTTTGGAACGCACATGTAACTTGTCATTCACGGAATGCCCAGTTCGCGACTAGTTCGCGAGATCACAACATTTAGTGATAACTTAGATTTATTTTTTTAGTATAACAAGTGACGATTTCCAGAAATTTAGCAGGGCAATAACATTTAATCCCACATAATTTTATTGTAAAACACACAATACGTAATCGCTGCTAATTTTATCTGTGTGATGCAAGAGGTTTTGATCTTAGAGAAACACGAAGGTAGGCAGTGTAAGCTCTCATACCCAAAATTTAGTCATGCTTTTATCTTTTATCTGCCTCAAAACTCATGATATTTTATTTTTTCTTTGAATCAAGTACTTATGATGCTTTTAGCAATCTTTTCTCAAGTCTAGAGCTGTATGAAGAAATGAATTCAGTCAATTTTTCTCAAATAGTACTTACTTCACCATGCTTTGTAAGTGGACTTTAAACCAAATTTCTCTGATAGAAAACGAAGCGTTCAGAGTGTAGATACATCTCATTCCACGACGATTCACTGAATGCAAGAAATGAGTTGAGATAAAAGATGTTTTACGCACTGCAAAAGCTGGTAATTCTGATTATAATTACCGTCTCCATTGGCCTACGAGGAGGAGAAACACCAATCATAGGAAAGCGCTCATTCTTACAAGCTCTATTAATGCCCACTTTGACTGCCTAATTTGGGAAGTATTAAATCTTTTCAAGCTCTCCTCTGTAAATGTTACTGCCGAATGCTTATCTTAATTCTTTTCTGTTTAGGTCCATGCGTCCAGACATTGCTTAGTTAGTCTGTGTGCTGCGCATGGCGGCTTACATCAATCGCACTCTTATGTCAGGAGACGGACCAGCAATTAGAGGTCCTGTTCTATCTTCCGATATGAAGTACAAGGATTGCTCACCATTACAGACTTTTGTCAGTGCCAAAAGGAAAATCAATGATATATTTGTTGAAATCAGTGATTTTGTGCAGGAAACAGCTAAATATGTTGAAGGTAAGATTCTCTTTTCCTTTCTCTACCTATCTTGGCAGTTGTAGGTAACACAAGAGATCCTTCTTATATTAATCCATTTTCTTCATATGACGAGTATCCTCGTCTGCGCGCGCCTAGGACATATCTCAGCTGATGAGTTAACTCGCGCCATCTGTCAGTGTTGCAAGGCTTGAAATGCTATCTATCGGAAAAGCCAAAAAAGAAAGGACCCAAACAATCGCGTAGCAACGCCGATAGATGGTGCAAATTAACTCCTCAACTGAGATATGTTCCAGGAGCGCGCTGGCGAGTATACTTGTCAAATGAGGCACATTTGTCAATTAGTTTTTGTCATCCTAGTAAGAATCACTCTTTTTGCATCCAGTGGCAGTACTTACTTACCAATTCTTTTTCTGTATTTACTCATCGTTTGTCAGGAACAAGGTCACAGGATCCATTAAGTTACCCTATAAGCAGTCATGTAATCTGTGTACTTACAAAGCAGCCATGCAACATGCGTGCTCAAAGTACAGTTATGTAATCTGCACAGACCTGCCACGTCCCATCTCGGGCCGTGGTACCAGTTTTTATGCCCGGGCCCCATGACTGCCACCAACTCCACCCCCACCCCTCCCCCTCCCACCACCAGAAAAATAATTTGTAATACCATGAACATGGATGAGGTTAGAGTAAAGATAAAGTGAATAAATGCTCCTTACTTTTAAAGAGATAAGTACATATAGAAATTACCACTGTAGCACTTTCGCCCCCGCAATGGGGTCCAGGCCTCAAACCGAGAAAACATTGAGGCCTCTGCTCCTGACATGTCATTTCGTGTTGAAAAAGATGATCAGACACGGAAATTCATATCTCAGTCTGTCATTTGGACAGAATACTTGAGATCACATAATTGCATTGAAGTTGAGGATGCCCAGACTAGAAACTATTAGCATCAGACGACGGAAGATAATGAAACACAGTAATTTTAAACAATCATTCCATACTTAAAATCTTGAAAATAGATAGATGCTAGATCGTCAATTATATCTTTGTGGCTCCTAATAGTAGTTTTGCTGGCCTAGATGGTTCCCAAAGTTTTGGGGTAGTAGGTGAATCTCTCTGTTTCCTACCTTACACAAGATCAAACTCATAAAAATTGCTCAGCCGAAAATATTAGGCTGGAGGCTTAAAAATTGAATCTCATAGTGTGCGTAATCGTCCTGTATTGAATAACAGAGACCTTCACCAGACATACTCTGATAAATTGACGTAAATTTAAAACATAAAGCGTGCTGTGGATCCACTGTAAATCACTCTTTGATTACCCTAGTGTAGCTGAGAGCAATCTAATTAATTTTCTTGAAGTATTTTTTGCCTAATTTATTTGTTTATTTTCTTTTTTTTCTAGCAATTGATAGAGATGAAAAAATAATTCATAAGCCAGAGGTTGAACTAGTGAGTGGCTAAGTATTTTTTGCCTAATTTATTTGTTTATTTTCTTTTTTTTCTAGCAATTGATAGAGATGAAAAAATAATTCATAAGCCAGAGGTTGAACTAGTGAGTGGCTATGTGTCAAAGGTCAGAGCAATTCAGGACATACTGTCCAGGAATCACATGAAAGTCGTTTTCTTTGGGCGGTAAGTTGAATTGAATCTTTTTTCCCCTAAAAAAGGCACTACTAAAATTTGCAGGGTGCTTAAAAATCCTATTTTTTTAAGTTACCCTTCAGGAATTACTTAATTACAATCAGAGATAAACACAGTTGTATGTTGCCTGGATCGAAATATGAAAATTATATTTTAAGATGTCTGATTAAAGTACTTAAGTAAATCAAATATTTAACTCATTATCAGCCCAGCTTGTGATTTTATATAAGTTATACAGCAGTAGGCAGTGTCATGAAATCTATTTACAGTATAATAGTATAATATTAATATTTTAGGTTTTTTTTCTATCCTGAAAGCGTGAAATACCCAAAGACAGAAAATTTTAACTCATGTATGAATGCTTAATTGAAAAATGTTAATATTTGTTCCTCTCTTGTCATAGAACAAGTAATGGTAAAAGCAGTGTAATCAATGCTATGCTTCGAGACAAAGTTCTTCCAAGTGGCATTGGGCATACAACCAACTGTTTTTTGCAAGTTGAAGGCTCTGACAATGGCGAATCTTACCTAGTAACGGAAGCAAGCCCTGAAAAGCAAAACGTTAAGGTAAGGAGTATAACCAATACTATGAGCACAACCACTTCCTCAAGTATTATGTATATCCAGAACTTTGTAGAGTTTTAATTTTGGGAATCCTAACAGAAAACGCCAAAAGGGGTGGAAAAAATTAAAATAATCTGCAGGTCAACCACTTGAATCCCACAAACGAGGATTCTTGACCCTCACAAAATTGGTGCCAGCACAGGCTACAGACAGTATTCTCAGCCTGTAACATTTTTCCCTGTTATCCCACTAATGGACGGATGGATGATTGTAGAAAGATAAATGATTAGTACTATCTATTGGTAGTGAGAATAACCACACCTTGGCGTTCATAGATTGACTGCGGTTCGCAGTCATTGTAAAAAACTGACCTGGTGTTCAAAGGGTTGAAAGAGCAACAGAGTATATTCTCACATTACTTTATCCCCTTCCTATGGTTACCTCCATGAATTACAGTGGTTGAATTTTTTTTTTTCCTACCATACATAGGGTGTCCCAAAAGTACTGCCCCTTTTTACGCAGAGGGCGAAAGAATGCAGATATCAAAATGCGGTTTGTGTGAGGTTATAGTCCTAGTAATTACCTATAAAACAAGACCAAGTTGAGCTCTGTAGCTTAAAATTTGACTGAGATACAGCATTTTGAAAATGACGTGTCAAGGTGGCGCCTACAGGATTTTCAACATTTTTTACGAAAGAAAAAACCAAGTTTTAGAATGAAACGGTTTTAAAAAGAAAAAGAAGCAGCCAGAAACATATGGCAACACTGTGTTTTAGGCGGCATTTGGCAACGTGTAAGCACCCCTATGCAGACCAACGACAGGATTAATAAACGTGTCCGCTAGTGCCATCCAAGTTGGTCAAGCTTTCCCGTCACGTCAGTCAGAATTCATCCCTTTGTCGTTTTGGAAGTTTCTTTCGCGATGAGTACCGAATTAAGAAAAGAACAACACCACGTTATTCGTTATTGTTTTCGTCGAGGAATGTCAGTAAAAGATACTTCTAATGAAATGAAAGGCGTGTATAAAGACGACTGTTTGGACAGAAGTAGCATTGGTCGTTGGTTTAAATCTTTTTCTGGCGGCCGCGAATCGGCGGAAAATCTCGCGAAACCGGGCCGACCGTCTACCTCCACCACAGACGAATTAATCGGCACCGTTGCTGCTGTTGTTCGAGGAGACCGTCATTTATCCTTGCATAAGTTTCAGGTGTTGCTTGACATCTCAAAAAGTTCATTGCACCGGATCTTAAAGGACCACCTGCAGATGCGTCGTGTCTGTTCGTCCTGGGGTTCGTCCATAAAAAATGTTGAAAATCCTGTAGGCGCCACCTTGACACGTCATTTTCAAAATGCTGTATCTCGGTCAAATTTTAAGCTACAGAGCTCAATTTGGTCTTGTTTTATAGGTAATTACTAGGACTATAACCTCACACAAACCGCATTTTGATATCTGCTTTCTTTCGCCCTCTGGGAAAAAAGGGGCAGTACTTTTGGGACACCCTATGTATGATGCTTAAAGCTGCTTTCCTTTCTGCTCATTTTTTTCTTAAAATGTGTCTTGACTTTTAAGAGCATGAATACTGCAGTACACAGCATTGCAAATGTAAGATTGTAAAAATCTGGCAGTTAATTTTAATTTTTATAAAAACATTCTTGAGAGATGATTTGACAAGGTAATACATAGTAACTTTCGTTTATTTCAGTCTGTTTCAAACTTGGCGCATGCATTGTGTGAAGAAAAGCTGAACGAGAACGAGCTTGTACGCGTTTTCTGGCCAAGAGATAAATGTCTCCTCCTTCGTGATGATGTTGTTTTAGTTGATTCACCAGGGATTGATGTCACTCCTAATCTGGATGACTGGATTGACAAACACTGTCTTGATGCTGATGTCTTCGTTCTTGTTGTCAATGCAGAGTCAACGCTCATGGTCACTGTAAGTACATATTTTAACAGCGTGGTCCACAACCACGTATCTTGTTTGCGGTGTTTGAAAATCTCCGCTTCTATATTATTGTTTTAAAAGAGAACAAATTGACATCATTCCTCTAAGTTTTTGCAGAATTTTCTTCGCACAGAGAAGGAAAATCATGGCAGTTTTAAGAATTGTTGTTGAGTAGTTTTTCGTTCGAAAAATAAAGTATGACAGGAAGTCTGTGACTTTGCAAACCAAGATTTGTGGTTGGGGACTTACACCATTGATTTAGCTCTTACAACACTCAGAATCTTGAGGCACACCATCTAGTTCAATGTACCTGTGCCTTCAATGTCCTTCGAAGATAAACTTTTTCTGGTCGGGAGTAAGTAAAAAAATCTTTTGTCATTTGGAAAACAAATTTCTCAGAGCTTATCATAGATCATAAAGCTAAATCCTTCAATAGGGTTGCCATAGTCAGGGAATACCCTGAAATGTCAGGGAATTTTAAAGTTGGGGTAAAGCTGAAAATGCCAAATGAAAATGGTCAAGTTACCTTTTCCAGAATAGGTTTGACATTTGGAACAAAAAAGTATGCTTGGCAACTATTTTATTTAAATTATGTCTTTCTAACCATCCTACATATCATTAATGTAATTTCACCAAAATACGTCAGGAAAATTCATTTTCTAAATTCTGGGGCAACAAAAAAAAAATAAAAATCTTGCTTTTAGTTATCATAGTCATTTTAATACTTCATCCAAGATTAATCACTTTTCATTTTAATTTTTTCAGGAAAAGAATTTCTTTCACAAAGTGTCGACAAAGCTCTCCAAGCCGAATATATTCATTCTTAATAACCGGTGGGATGCCTCTGCATCAGAACCAGAATTTTTAGAGCAAGTAAGTATAATTATGTGTCGTTTTATAATTAAATGTTTCTCCTCTTACTGACTGTTTGAGTTGCCCATCGCTTGTGTTAGAAAATTTCAGATGTCCAAGAATGATTTCTCTGTGAAAGATTAATAGTCATTCTTGCCCGTTCGCCAAAATATGTCAGTCTTTAAAGTGCCAACAATTTCAGCTAAGCTTAATTTACTAACTTCATTTTATTTGATGCCGTTTTTAATTGCCTATTCTACCATTGTTAGCCTATGGAATGAATCATATTTTTATTCTTACTCATTTAACAATGTTACAACTTGCAGGTTCGAGCCCAACACACGGAGAGAGCGGTAGATTTCCTGACAAAAGAACTGAAAGTTTGCTCAGCAAAAGAGGCCAAGGAAAGGATTTTCTTTGTCTCGGCTAAAGAAGTGCTCCAGGCCAGATTGCAGGAACAGAAAGGACAGCAGCTACATAGTGAGTATTTCTGTAGAAAAAAAGTGTCACTCGGGTTATGGTCATTAAACTATAAAATTATTCTAAATTATGGATATCGTCTTTTTTTATTGTGTCATTCTAAAGTATTTAGTGAGCTCTGCGTATTGTTTTTTCTCCAACACTTTTTATTATCAGGAGCTTAGAAAGAAATTATTTCAAAACTGCAAAAAAATAGGGTAACTGAACATGAGGTTTGAACTACTTGCTCGTTGCTTTTGAATTTGCGTTTTGATCGCGTTTTCCTGTGTCAAAATATCAATATGGCACCAGAATCCGCAGTGGGAGAATACAGAGTAATCTTACCGTTAGTTGCTGACCAGCAAAAGGTTGTAGGCTAAGCCAGGCAACTTAAGAGACTTCTGTTGTCAGCGTATGAACCTACTTGTCGAATTTCCTCAACGTTGCATCGGCCGAGATCCTTTCTTTCAGATTTTTTCTTCTTGTACCAAAAACTGTAGAAATCAGCTGTTTTTAAATCAACTCCTTTAATTCCAAACTGACCCATTACCAAGACTAAGAAACTCAATTCACTTTATGGTTTTAAAAAAAAAATACTAGATGCCTTTTTGGAGTCCTAAGACCATCTCCTCAGTATGCAGTTTGTTCCTTCTTGGAAAGGAGCAAAAAGACGGAGAGAAGTGATTTGGTTTTCAAATGTTAAATGGGTTAAGTTTATCACTCCTGATACTGATCTAGTGTCGACAGCTCACTATTCATAATCTGTTCCAGTTTTGTTTTATTTACGAAGATTGCCCGTTTCAAAATTTTTTATTGGTTAAGAAAGTCGTCCTTGTATTCAAGTATGACAATTTAAAGGAATTAAAACGGTAAAGGGTATTTGTGAGTTGATCTGCTAGCACAAAGCCCCTTCATGTATTTGATTTCTCGAGCTAAGATTTTGTGTTATTTTTCAGGTGGTGCCTTAGCAGAAGGATTCCCTACAAGATACCTGGAGTTTCAAGGATTTGAGGAAAAATTCGAAGAATGTATTTCAAAGTCTGCCATACAAACCAAGTTCCATCAGCACTCAAAGAGAGGGAAACTGGTTGCAGAGTGAGTTTTTATTTTAACTCAAATTTTACAGTTTGAGAAATACTTTTATTTTCTTTTAAGTAATATCAGGTAACAGAAATGTTTTTTTTTAAGGTGTTGATTCATACCTGAAGCATGCCTAGTTAAGGTGATTGGATGGACGCTATATTCTGTGTCAGAGCATCAATTGGTTCCATTTTTTCAACCACACTTTCTAGAATTTTGAGATTGCAATTCTGTTGTCAGGATACTGAAGAATTTACCTACCAATTTTGACAAACAAATTCAAAGTAAAAAATGCGAGATTTTTAAAAGGAAAAATATCCCATTCCAGGGCAGTTTCAATATCAGTATCGAATGCGATATTTTTCCTCTAGAAAAACCATGCCTTTATTTTGTTGAATTTGTTTGTCAAAATTGGTAAGTGATTTTTTTAGTCTCCTGACAACAGAATTGCAATCTCAAAATTCAAGAAAAATGACGAGTAGCTGAAAAAAAGGAAACAATCGACGAAAGGAAATACTTGACTATTATGATAGGGTCCTAGAAGAAGCATTAGAAAATAGATCAAAATAAATTAGTGGCAATGGACCCCTAAACAAGGTTCAAATTTAAACCGTCTAATGTGTAATTCCTCTTCAAAATTTCATGAAGAACACAATCTGTGCAACAAAAATCATTGAAATCAACTCCTGACCGAGATATTAACATTTTTATTTAGCCTTGGTTTTGGAAAAATTTGAATTCCCTGCTCACAAGAAATACGTTGATGAAATTGCGCACTAAAACGGTTTTTGCAAGTTTCTCAATAAGCAGCGTTCCTTCACGAAATTCGTATTTTTTGAAGTGTCTCATCTTTATGAACTACCACCTTTACAAGGTTGCAGAATCTCCATTTTTACACATATTTTCACATGCCTGCCGGCCAGGTTTCCACACTTTTCTCATCGGTTTGCCATCGAATTTCCTACCAATTTAAAGAAAGATGACCTCTTTCTTCTGTTTTCCTATCATTTTCGACCTTTGACCATTCAAAATGTTCCCTCTTTTTTCACATTGCTGGGGGCTTTTCCAAATTTTTACGTGCCAGGACGGATGCATGATCGAGCATTTCCTGCACCCCTGCACCTTTAAATGCCTTAAATATTTGCAATACCCTACTGGACTGATTTTTTTCTTTCTTTCTCCTCAGTGATGTAAAGAATGTAATGGAAACCGTCCACGAACGGGCGCAACAACAAAAAACAGAGCTAATGAATAAGAAGAAAGAAGTCAATGATAAACTGAATCACACTGAGCAACAAGTGCAGTTGATCACAATTGAAATGAAGAAGAAAATTCATCATATGGTCGAAGATGTGGAAGAAAAGGTAAAATTCAGCTTGCTGTTTTTGAAGTTCTCAATGAAATTCTGAAAAAATTTAACTTAACCTTAAATTACCAGCCAGACAGACATACTGCTTAAAAAGTGGTAGTCCAAAGAAGGCAGAATAAAGGACCCTGCACGCTCCCTACAGGGATATGTACCACGGTCGATTTCCAATTTTTTTATTGCATTAAACTATTCTATGGATGCTGTTCAAAAGTTTTCATTTCGCCGACTTTCTATGAGGCACCGTTTTCACACAATCCGCAAATTCCGTGATGGAAGTTTTGATAATGGCTTGAATAAGAGAGAAAAGTGCAGCGATGAACGAGTCGAGAATATCTTCCTATCTTTTAGCATTCGCTGAAAACAAGGAAAACCTAGCAGTCCTATCTCAGATTCTGCACGCCTTTTCATTTCATCATCCAAATCAGATTCTTTCTCTCTCCGATTCTTTGCCTTACCAATCATTGGGGAAAAGTGTGCAAGGTCCTTTCTTTAATTCATGAGTAATCATTTAACCTAACTTGAAATTTATTCAACAGTCTTTTTGTAAAATTAATCAAATTGAATTTATGACAATTCTCTAACCAAGTGGTGGTAAGCGGAAAGGAACCAAATCCAATTCAGTGTTCTGCCGAATGCTGTTCAATTTTACTCTTGAGAGCTCTAAGTATTCTATCACCAGTCGCCAAAGAACCCAAATTTTTATTTTTGAAGAGATCCAGATAAAAGAGAATGAGCCCTATAGTTTTCCTAAAACTTGAAAACCAAGTATCAGGAGCCACTGTTTTTTCGCTTGCAATGCCGTATACCTGTGTGCATTTTATGACTTATAAAATGCGGCTGTTTGGTAGTTAAAATTTCACACCATGAACATTATCTGACTCAATACATTTTCGGACGTTGTTTCATTCTTTTCAATGTTTCTATTCTTAATTCACAGGTGTCCAAGGCCCTGTACGAAGAAATTAGGCGATTAAATGTCTTGGTGGATGAGTTCAATCAACCATTCCACTCAGATCCTTTGGTTTTGAACGTGTACAAAAAAGAGCTTCACTCTCATGTTGAAAGTGGCCTTGATAGCAATTTGCGAGGACGCCTTTCAACTGCTTTGGCAATGAACATTGACAACAGTCAGCGCGAAATGACAGGTGAATTATAGCACCATTCCCATAATATAAGATTGCTCCAGATATTTTGGTATTGTTAGTAATTCTCTATTGCTACAATATAGCTTTCAAACTTCAATCTGTGCAAATCTTTTGATGTTGCAAAACTTAATTTTTTTTTACTTTTCAAGTTCTTGAAAATACTCATTTGGTTTTCAAGGAAAGTTTTCTTGAAGCCAAATAAATCACACAAATTATAAAGAAATGCGCTGGAGGCTAAATATTTTTACTTTTTGATGTGATGCCTTTTACCCTCTCAGTCTTACAAGTTATGAAAATGCTCCTTTCTGTGTACTGATATTAAGAAGAGCAGGGCTAAAAAGTGAATTTTTCAGCAGTTTTTTTCGCGTTTCCCAGTGAATTTGTTTCAACGTTAGATTGACAAACAAAAAGATCCCTCTTCACCCTCCTGAATAGAAAAATGAATGCATCCCTTCAATTAGCAAACTGACGTTAGACCATTTCCTCCCTCAATTATTATTTTCTTTGATCATTAAACTAATGTCGGGCTATTTTCTCCTGAATGTGCTCGCAAAAGTGCTAAAAAATTTATTTTTAGTGCCTCTTTCCTCAAAATTGACACATAGAAAGTACACACTTCTTTTAAAACTTATTGCATTCAGAAAGAACATCACATTAAAAAAATAAATAAAGTTAGCGGCAGCAAAATTTGTACTTATTGCAAAAGAATTGATCCCTAAAACTTTACTTTTAGCATTACAGCATCAATGAATTTTATGACGAGACTTGCAGTAACAGGGTGTCTGCAGGTCTGGAAAACCGGGAAAACCGGGAAAAATCAGGGAATTTGATCACTGTCTGGAAAACCGGGAAAAGTCAGGGAATTCGATCGAAAACCGGTGAAAGTCAGGGAATTTTCGCAATTCGAACATTTCGCGGCTATTTTCGCTCGTCACTGCCAAATTGGCCGAGTAGCGCGCTTGCGTGGCTGATAATGTAAACTGCTCTGTTCAAACAGATTGCAACACGGCCGCTAGGTTCACTAATGTGTGTTCGCTAACTTTAAAGATCGAATCGATCCGCCCTATTTAATTTATCTACTTAATTCATGCCAAATGGCAAGATAGACTAAATATACTTGAATGAAGTTAACTTGCTAACAGCAGAAAATTACAGTAAATAATGATAGGAAACTAAGTGCCCCAGTTTTGAGCAGATGGTTAATCAATTTTTTCAATAAGTCAGGAAATTTAATGAAAGTGCTAGAATTTTAGTTTTTCTTTAACTGAGTAAAGAAATATTTAATGTCAACTGCATTTTGCATGAAATTTTTCTAGTTCTTAAATCAACATGTCACCAACTGGTGCATCCACCTTGTAGAAATATTATTGGTGGATTATATTCTAACAAGCCAACGCTTGTTGAGTATAAGAAAAATTCAATACCAACAATAGGTTCTGGAATCCATTGAATTAATTGACCTTAAGAAAAAAAAAGAAAAAAAAAAAAAAAAAAAAAAAAAAAAAAAAAAAAAAAAAAAAAAAAAAAAAAAAATATCCCGAATCAAGCAAATTTATCTAAAATCGAGAAGAGACTTGTATTTCCTCTTGATTATAGCAAAATCTACCTGAGTTAGGCACATTTACAACTCTTGTTTTATATTTTAAGAAAAAGAGACTTGTATTTTCAGGGCACTAAGTAATATGCCAATATTTATGAAACCACCAGGGTGAACTATAGTTTGAATTTTCAAAAGTATATGGGGCAATATGTCACAAAGAGAGCGTGGTAGAGCTTAAAAATTAAATTTTGAAGGTGAATTTTAGTCTGAGTATACCATTTTGGAATTAGCTTTATTTTGAGTATTTAGGATCTCGTTCCTTTCAAAAGTATTACTCAACTTCTTCCAACGCCATGGTAATTCAGAATATGACTGTACGCGGTCATTTCTAAGGATAGTTTTTTTTAATATTTTCTAACTAGCTCATTGTATAACTAAACCCAAAAAGTCAGGGAATTTTGTCATTTTGTGTCATGGAAAACCTGGAATTGTCAGGGAATTTGATTTTGAAAATCTTGTAGACACCCTGAGTAATTTTTATACTTAAAACTTACAAGCATGATATTCGTGTACCTCATCCAGTCACTGAATGTTTTGATAGTGTCACAAAATAAGTGGAAATAACAATTTTTTTTCCTTTTCCCACAGATCGAATGGCTTCCTTACTACCTCCTCAAAAGAAGCAGCTTTCCATGACTGTGCTGCCGAAGCGGGAACCATTTGAAATCTTGTATAGGATCAATTGTGATAATTTATGCTCCGATTTCAAAGAAGACCTTGAGTTTAGATTCTCCTGGGGCATCGTGTCCCTCATACAAAGATTTGTCGGAAACAAGGACAAAGCAAATGCAATCGCCCTCCAGAATTACAACTATACACCAATGGTATTAATGTTTTGCAGTTGTTTGACGTCTATTTTTCATTATAACCACAGTTTAGTTTGGAAGAGAAATTTGAGTTTTCTCGTTAATTTCCTTTTTTTTTCTTCGTATTCTGAGAGCATCATTTTTGCATGATTTTGTAAATTGAGGAGGCTAATTGCCTTACAAAATTGAATATTTGTTTGGAAATGCACCATATCCTTTTTTTCTTAAATTCTTTCCTGAGCCTCTTTTCGAAAAATCTAATTATTCTGAAATTGCCTTTCTTCTATACTACTGCACTGAGGAAAATGCTGTATGAGCCTTTAGATGTCGCCAAACCTTCCTCCACAAATCATGAATTTGCAGAAAAATTTCAAGTATTTTGCTTCCAAATTTTTAGCAAATTTTGTTTGTAATTTGATCTAAAATGTCTGAAAATTGTAAGGAATAATATTTATAACTTTCCTCAAGAATAAATATTTTCTGAGAGGAAATTTGGTAACATTCAAATGTGCACACAGCGTTCTTCTTTAGCACGGCAGTCCAGGAAAATTATTTTAGGTGTTAGGATGAAATCACTTGCTAGCTAATTGAGCCTTCATGTTTGTCTTCTGTTTGCCTATTTATTTAGTCTTGCCAAGAAAGTTTAGTTAAGATAATTATATCGTATTCAACTGTGTGCATTAATTCATCTTTGTGGTTTCTCCGTCTATTTTTTTTTTTCAAAGGATGTAGGAATGTTTATTCATTCAATTGACATATTTTTTTTATTTATGTCAGGTTTCAACACCTCCTGCAATTCAACCAAGCAACATGCACTCTACAATTCCTTTCATTGACTCCTCCATGTCGGCAGATGATTGGTCAGTCATTTCTCGTTTAGCCATGTTATCATCCATCGGGTCTCAAAGTACAATGGGTGGACTTCTTATCGGAGGAGTTGTAAGTGGAAACTCTTTTCTCCTGTAGGAACGCATGATAACAAAGGAAGTTATTCCTGTTCCTGTTTTCTGTAGGATACAGGACCTTCCATTCCTTAAGTTATCATCATAATATTGTGTCTTTGTTGCACCAAATTTTCTCCAACTGATTTCTAAAAGTGGCAGAAGAAAATGAAAATTCAAGAGCGAAGAAAATATGGACAAAAGCTGTCAGGAAACTGCATCATAGAACAACAAATGTTTTAACGAAATTAGAAATGATCCCTGAAATGATAAAATTCCCACAGAGTCTGATCATAAAATTTGAAGCGATTTTATTTAGTTTGGTGATTTAAATAAAAATGACAACAGTTTTGAATCCATATGTTTGGCTCAACACTGACAAAGGGGCGTATCTCTATTTCCATATGAGCCCCAGAAAGCGCATAGTTTTAAGGAGCAAAGGGCTCACGTGGAAATTGAGATACACCCTTACGTCAGAGGAGCGACAATCTTTACCTCATAATTTTAATTTTTGCCTTTATGAAAGAGATACCTCACAATTTTAATTTTGCGCTTATGAAAGAGAAAAGTGTAATTAATTTTGTGGTCTTCCTTTGGGACAGCTGCTGAAAACAGTCGGATGGAGAATAATTCTAGTCACTGGAGCAGTTTACGGTTGCTTGTATCTCTACGAAAGATTAACATGGACCAACAAAGCTAAAGAGCGCCTGTTTAAGCGACAGTATGTAGATCATGTTTCCCGAAAGCTTGGTGTTATCGTAGACTTAACATCTGCTAATTGTAGTCATCAAGTTCAGCAGTAAGTAATCCTTTTTTTTTCTTTATACATATTACATATTATTTAGTACACATATCGATTGTAGAACTGCAGAAACGTGCATCTCGGTTTGCAGCACTGCAGACTTCCTGTCATAATTTTTTTTTTTTTTTTTTTTTTTTTACGGAAAAATACTCTGTGACACTTCTTGAAGACTTTTGTCATTTTTCTTCTCTGTACCTATAAAGAATGTTCTCTGAAAATTTCAATCAAATTTCTTGGTTTTTTCTCATTGGATAAAATAAAATAGGAGCAGATATTTAGAAACACTGCAAACAAGATATATGCACATTTTTGTAGTTTCATTATCAATTCATTCTCTGCCATCTACTATTTGGCTGACTTCATTAAAAAGTTACAATATAAAGGTCCTTGGGAGTCTCCCGAAACTCCAATTTGAAATTCAGTTACAACTGCTTAGAGAAGCGTTTTACAGACGTTTTTGCATAAAATACTCATTGGGAACTATTAAAAGAAAGTTGGCTAAGGATGGTTTAAAGTTTGCCATTCAGAAAACTTTGTTTAGAGTAATAGCTTTTCAAACTTTTTACCCTGTATTTAGTGAACCTGGTATTTTTTGAGTAACCATCACGTTAAGAAGGAAGAAAGAAAAAAGTAAAAATTATTGAGAAGAAAAGTAGACCGATACTCATTGCTGTTTAATCTGTACGTAATTGTCGGACTATAATGCACTTATATGCCTTCTATTGCTGTAATGATTCGCCAAATTGGCCACAGATTTCTTATTGGAATACACAATAATCTTTCCTTTAAAAAACCAAAATTCTAATATTCTTACCCAGCCATCTTGCTCTGAAGTTCTTTTTCCTGTAGGCATTCAAGTGTAATATGTGTGGTTTCCTTTTTTCAGAGAGCTTGTGAGAACGTTCGCTCGCTTGTGCCAACTGGTCGACGAAACAACAACTGAACTCCGTGATGAAAACAACACGTTGACTGAAAGATTAGAATACTTAGAAACAGCGGCAAGTGCAACTAAAATTCTTCGTAATAAGGCTATTTACGTCGCTAAAGAGTTGGCCATGTTTGATGATGCTTATCTTGGCGGCTCCCAGTGAAATTTGCACTGTGCTAGAATTTAGTTACCCCTAGTCCGTTGCCAACCTTTCGAAACAATACTAACACCTGAGCAAAATCTAGTTGTTAACCTAGTTGTTATTTGTTATCCTTGGTTTTGAAGTACCTACCTAGCCTCGCTTCTGTCTCACAGGTTAGTGTTATTATTTTATTATCTGGTAAAGTCCCTGATTTTAGTTGATCCAATTTTTGATTGTCCAATCAAATAATTAACCTCAAAGTCGATTATTTTTTTTCTCCGTTTTAGGATAGACTTCTGTTCAGTTTGAGTAAATACATTGTGTTTCAAACGTTTTTGTTTGTTGAGATTTATTCCTATCTCCATTCATTGATCCTTGAAATGGGGTTGTCACAGTCATAACTGTGAAAAACTCTGTGTGGGAAACTGTGAAATGTCAGGAAATTTTAAAAAGTCAAGGAAAACCTGGGACTTTCAGGGAAAAGTTTTTAAATCACCCAGTTTTGCTGCCTAGATTGGCTTTAAAATTTCAAATTAAGTCTTTTCAGCCATCTAGCATGTATTGACAGTGAAACTACCAGGCCACATATCTCGGTTTACAACGTTGCAGACTACCTGCCATACTTTATCTTTTTAATGGAAAACTACTCAACCTCAATCCTCGAAAACCTCTGCAGTTTTTCTTCTCTGTGCGAAGAAAACTCTATGAAAATTTCAAGGAATGATGTTGGTCTGTTCCCCTTCAAATAAATAAAATGTGAGCAGAGATTTTTAAACACCGCAAACAAGATACGCAGTCTGGTACTTTCACCGTCGATATCCTCTAGTGTCAGGTAATTTTATAATTTGTCAGGGAAATCAGAGAATTTGATTTTGTAAATTCTGTGGCATCCCTGTGAAATGAATCGATTCCTTTCAAAAGGTGTGAGCTTCAAAGGTATTGCTTTGGTTCAAAATTTTATGCAACATTCCATTCAATCTGCCGTGACTCGGGAAACATATATGTCTGGAAATTTGTGTTGGTTTTACTAACAGTAAGAAAAAAACTTGTTGAAGACTTTTCAACATTCATACTCTCTGATCTCAGGTGTATTTTGGGCAGTTCTGAAACATAAAAGCAATAAAATGACGTAAACCCATTTTCAACTAACCCATTAATTCTGAAAGTGATGTCAATATACATCTAAATATTTCAAGAAACTCTCCAAGCATTAAAAGTTTCGAAAAAAAACTAATTAAAAATGATCAAAGCACCATTTTCACAGTAAATACTGTGTACAGAAAATTCAATTCTTAACAACTTGTATTCATGATCACAACAGCACAAGCAAACAACTTGCAAGTTGCAAATGGCAAGTATACTGCAGCAAGTCAGGTTTGCACACGCGATGAAATCCAAAATAGATAAACAAAAATTTTCCGAACTGACCAGTGTTCCACATCTTTTCGTTTCACCACATCGAAGTGCCTTCAATTGATCAATTATGCAATTTGCCATGCTCCAAGGGTTCATTGCACTGTTATCGTTGCCATGGTTACCGGTGCTATGTTTAGATACAGTGTTTGGGGTTATGTTTTCATTGAGACGCTGTGTGTTTTTGCTGTGTTTTCTCGAATTATTTGCAACTGAATCGTAATTTTGCAGGATTTTTTTCATAAAATTGGTAAACTCATGGCAGTAAGAACTTTAAACTTCAAACTCTAATGTTTGTGTGATCAATATCTAATATCTACAGTATCATTCCTGTACAGAGTTTCTGTCATAATGCAATCTTCCCTCGCGCTCGAAGTTTTAATGTATCTGAACTCTTACTATTTTGGTATGTTTGCTCTCTGTGAAGTGATGTGCGGCATATTCAAAGTTATCCACTTGCCCTACTCGACGGGAACAATTTTCATGGAGTTCTTCCTGCTTTTATTTCTCAGCTGTGTTGAGGGTCTGAGATTATTTTTTGCTCACAAAGGCAACTTAACGGAAAAATGCAGCACTCTTTTCTTCTCAGTCATTCTTTTGGTGCCATCCACCTTTGGAGTCTTGTACTTCCTCTACTGGCAAACCTATATCTTGCGTTTGGAAGTTATGTTGTGTTACATTCAGTTATGTCTCTTAGCAGTGGAGTTCATACTGTCTCTTGTAAGTTTAAGTTCCTTTTTTAAAAACATTAGCTTTTCTGATTAATTTTCAAGAATCTAGTCATGTCACTGCTACCCTCTTTCCAGTGTCAAGTTTCATATAAAAAACATGGAGAAAAAAAAGAGGCATTTGCATTTCGGGCATCTTGGCAAGAAAAGGCAGCAGTGGAAAAAGTGCCATTCGACTGATCATTTCACGCAATCTGAAATTTTTTCCCGACTCACTTCTGAAAAATTCCCTCACTCTCCCAAATTTTTCAAAGTGATCACCATTTGTTTTCCTCTTCAGTTAGTAAATTTCCATTGTAAACCATCCAAAGTAAACTACAGCAGGTTCAGTTTTTTATTTGTATGAAGCAAAGATATTTTTTTATATTTTTAAATATATATTAAAATAAATTAAATAACTTTTTTATTTTTTTTCATTGTTTCCCAAAAACAGCGATATTATTTCAATCAAATCTTTGGAGGGTGGAGCAGAAATTGACTGGAAAGAAAAATTTGCCCAGGAGGGGATGGTTTAACTTCCAAAAATTGTGAAAAATTTCCTGTAATGAAGCAAATCAAAGGTTAAATTTCAAACACTTGAAGAAGGGTATCTGCCCTCTGCTGATCTCTCAAATGGTGCTCTTACTCTAAGAAAGCTTCCTAGGGTAGATCATTTAATGTACTTAAATATTTGTGATCTCTCCCTGTTCCTTTCAAAAACTATCTTTTGATTGTTCAAGAATATCTAGAAAGAATCTCCAATTATTGTTAACCCCCCACCCACTCCAAAGGCCACAGAATACTTCCATCAACTCTACCGTGACAAGACAGAACTCTGTATGAGCCTTTTGGCGTTGCCAAATTTCCTTTCATAAAATACGAATTTTCAAGTGAACTTTTGAACATTTTTCTTCTAATTTTTCAGAGGACCCCATTCGAAATTTGATTTAAAGTAGGTGAAATTTTCAAGGAAAAACGCTCGTGACTCCTCAAAAATGAACGTTTTTCTACAGGAATTTTGGCAACTCCTGGAGGTGCATGCAGTGTTTTTTCTAAGCACGGAAGAACTGGCAGGTGGATCTTGTGGATTTGTTATATTAGGATCCTTTTGCAGTGCTATATTTTTCAAAGGCCACAACACAGCTTTTATGTCAATATGTGTCAAGAAGTATTCTTTTCAGGTGTGATTCTTATGTCATTATTTTAAGTAATGAAACAACAAAATAACTGTATCAAAGTCTTTCAACTTAGAATTAAGTGCCAGCTTTACTTGTCTTTTTTTGGAGGAGTTATTGATCGTCAGAAGAACAAGGTGTGGATGGAATTTTTTCCTCTTGAAATGATATGCTGAGTCAAAGAATTATTTGACTGAATTCAACAGGGAGGAATCAAGCGAATGTAAGTGAAAAAATTGATGAGGAGGTTCAAAGTTTTCTTTTGCCATAAGAATCAATGTAAAACATGAACCTTATGTGCACGTTGCGTTGAGGTCGCCTATTATAAATTTTTCTCAGGCTAGATATTTTGGCAGGATGAATAAAAAAATAGACGACCTCAAACACCTTCATATCTTAAATATTTACTTACAATATGGGGCTTCATTATTCTTGCCCTTGTCTCATTGTCAGTCCAATCAAATGAATGATGAAGTTTAAAGTGAATCAATTCAAGAGACAACTCATTATAAAGCTATCACATTTATTAAAATAAATAACAAAAACAGATGCAGAAATACATCAAGTACGAGGAGAAAGGTACGCAAGTCTATGACAAAGCATTTTTAAAAATGTTCCCCTATACATTTTTTGAGTCTGGTTTTTCGTGTTAAAAATAAAAGAAAATCTCATTCAGGCAAGAATTTCAGCACTAATTTTTCAGAGTGTTATTATTTGTCCAAACATCTATGAATAACACGATTGAAGATTTTATGTTTGAATTTATTATCAAGTTGATAGAACCTCGTACTCCTACTTGAGTTGAAGGCAAAGAAAACATCCTTTTGCCATGAGCTGAGCATGCAATGGAAAATATTTTATAGCTATTTTAAAGATTTGGAATGTAATTTCACAAGAAAATTTTGGTTGAATTTTCTGGCTTCTTTTGGCTGAATTCTCGCCTACACATAATTTTCGGATAAAATTAAATCAGTATTTTGACTGTAAATCCCAGGATCACAACAGAATGCTGGGGAGAGATCTGAGAAAATTTAAAGGAAAAGCCGTGATTATTTGTTTAAAAAAAAACCCTATTTGCGGAATTTTGAAATGTTGCAACTGAGATGCATGGTGTTGAAGTCTAGCAACAGAAGTCATGCAAGCAAGAAAGACAGGAGTCTAACCGTTTGCCTATTCTTGCCAGTCACGGCGCAAATTACTGTGCGGTCACATCTCTTTCACGTCCAGTAATTCACCCTTCACTCATTCATTGTATGGACCTGTTTAATACAAGAAGGAAACAAAATATTTTTGACTCGGCTCGAGTTGTCTAAGGTTTGTCGACCCTACGAAGGTCTCATTTACTAAAAAAAAAAACATTTCAAAGAAATGTAATGCTCAGGACACTTAAAACTGATGAAGGGATGGTACGATAGGCACATTGAAGATCGGAATTTTTTACAAACATAAGTACAAACATTTCAACATCAAAACATAAAAATTATTGTTCCTTATTTACAATCATAAAGATTCTTAGTCAAATCGGATGTACATGCTCAAATATAAATGCATCTGTATCTAATAATGCAGTATCAGTCAGTCGTATTAGATATTTACAAAAGATCCTTACGATCTATCAACATCAAAGAGTGAAAATTACCTATTTGTAGGAACTGATAGAATTAATAATATTTTCCCACAAATACAGACACAAAATCATCTTCTAAAGACCCAAGTTTAAGAAAAGTACTATTATTTACACATTCAACTTCATTGACTGAGGTAAAAGCTCCTATAATCTAAAACTCATTGCTTGGTTGCCAAGGACAGTTCACCTGACGGCAGTGTTCCCAGGTGCTCCTATCTTAAAATGTCCGTACGCTCTCCGGATGGGCTCGTGTATATCCGTGCCGCTCCGTGCTCCGTCCGTGTTCCGTGAATTCCGTTTCCGTTTCCGGTTCCGGCTCCGGCTGTTTTGTTGTTTTGTTGAGGGCGCACGGACATAAATGAAATGACTGAATTTTGATAAGAATACAATATAATTAATGCAAAAAGTATCTAATTTGTTCCCGAACGATACCCGGCTTTCATACTAAACATAATTGTATCAATAACTTACGCAAAAGTAATAAATATTGCAAAGAAAAGCGGATTAACAGATGCACGGACTGGGCCGGGCGGGCGCACGGACATAAATGAAATGACTGAATTTTGATAAGAATACAATATAATTAATGCAAAAAGTATCTAATTTGTTCCCGAACGATACCCGGCTTTCATACTAAACAAAATTGTATCAATAACTTACGCAAAAGTAATAAATATTGCAAAGAAAAGCGGATTAACAGATGCACGGACTGGGCCGGGCGGGCGCACGGACATAAATGAAATGACTGAATTTTGATAAGAATACAATATAATTAATGCAAAAAGTATCTAATTTGTTCCCAAACTATACCCGGCTTTCATACTAAACATCATTGTATCAATAACTTACGCAAAAGTAATAAATATTACAAAGAAAAGCGGATAAACAGACGCACGGACAGGGCCGGGCGAGCGTACGGACAAAATAAGATAGGGAAAAATTTTCCCATAAGGTTTTTGTCCGTACGCTGTCCGCGCGGGTATAGGGAATGTCCGCGCGGCGCGGAAATATCCGTACGCCTGGGAACACTGCCTGACGGGATGATCAACATTTGAAGAATCTTCTAAGGTTTTACTTTTAGGTCAGGCGTGAAATGTTCCTCGACATAGAGTGTTGTCAAATGGTAGCATGGTGACTTTTCTCTGGAAAAAAGGGTACAAAAGCAGAGCAGGTACGCACTTATTTGTAGAATTCGCTGTTAAAAAATAGGCTCGCAGAAATTGCCTGTTGTAAATTAAACGCAACCTTTTGAGTAGGTAACTAAAATTTCATAACTAAAAAATTCAAGGCGACTTTTCACGTGAATCCAAATCGTGCAGGTCACTATCCGGTTAAACTTTAAAATATTTGGCAATCGTAAGAATACCGCGCAATGTAGGTACGCTTGTGCAAAATACCCTGGTAAAAATTGGGAATAGGAGCTGCGTTTCAAAAATTTACTGTATAATTTTTGGATCGCGAAGCGATCAGGGGCCGTAGTTTCTTGGTTTGTGGTATTTAAACTGACAATGAAAATCTTCTCGAAGTTGTCACATTACTCAGTATTCTCGATACTACACGATACAGTTCGATTCTTTACTTAGTTTCCCAGATTGCAATACGTATTCCCTCTTCAAGACCTCGAACGCGTGGCTGCCAAGCAAATTGCGACAATTTTATTCCCTAGATCACTAAAATTCACGTTGAACTGGGTAATTCTTGAAAGGTCACGATTGTAAACGGAGCCGCTGTGTCGCGACGAAGTTTCGTGTACCCATTTTTCACACTCCTCTACTCTAATCAATAATTTCGTCCAAGGATTGACTGAGCTTTATTTAACATTGTCAGCTCCTTTTCACTGTCTTGTATTATAGCGTCAGCTGACTTTGGTCGCATCATCAATACATCTCATCTAATTTTATGTAATATACCTATAAATAATCCATTCATCAAATAGCTAGGTATCTTTTGCGTGACCGACCCCTTACAGAATAAACTCAAAACCTTCCAGAAACACTTAACTTGTCTAATTTAGATAATTCTAATTTCCAAGGTACCCACATCGAAGACTAAAAAAATTGGTCGTTCTCACGTGCAGTCTTGGACTTTATTGGTCCGCACAAATTATTTCTCTAAACTACTTCATCCGAAGTAAGGAATAGTCGAAATTTTACCTCACAGAAGCTCTGTAAATTATTACAAGTATAGTAAAGTTAGATGAGCAATTGTCGCATAATCATTCTCCATTTCACTCATACGCTTATTGTTAATTTTCTTTCTTTTTTTTCAATTTGATCAAATAACTCAAACTGCCCTATCCTCGTGGAACGACGACATATGGTTGCAATGAGTGACACTTATTGTCATTACAAGTTAAAAAAATTGCAGGCGCTGCGGCTTTTCAATGGCTAAGTCTGGATGCAACTATTCGTGCTCTCAGGATGTCCGGGTTGCATACACAAAAAATTGCAGGCGCTCTGGTTTTCTTAAGTACAACGCATGGCTGCGGTTGTTAGTTCATAAAAAGTCATGCATAAGTGTTTTTTCCTTGAATTTTATGATAAATTACATTGAAAGAGCATTCTCTGAAAAATTAGAGGAAAATAATTTATAATTTCTCCCAGAAAGAGTTTTATAAGAAACAATCGGCTATGTCCAAATGTTCTATACAGGTTTTTTTTTGTTTATTAGCACGGATGTTTTGCACAGTAGGATTCTTTTTTGAATAAAAGATCACTGAAAAGTCGCCTCGTATTAATTGCTGGAGAAATTCTGACGTTTCATATACATATTTTGTACAAATTAGCCCTGTTAACATGTTGGTGAAAGACTATGATTGGCCAGCGTGAGAAAGTGACTTCTCCGGTTTTCTTTCATGGCTCTTTGATGTAGCAGTGCCATCCACACCTATTCTCATAAAACCAACAGCTTAATGTAGCAATGTCTCTTAAATAAAATTCTAATACATAATAAACTCTTCAAAAAACTCATAGAATGCACAAAGCAGGAAGCCATTTTAATTTAATTTTACGTATCAATCATATAAAATTTACGAAGACTAAAAAGAAATCAGTACAAAAATTTTGTTGAATTCTCGAGGTCGTTTGTATTTGCACGTGGCCACGCTCAAAACTAAGAGTTTACCTATTAATGTTGTAAAAATTTAAGTTGATACTCACATAATAAAAATTTGAGTGTGTACTTCTTAAACACAGTGAGATGCAAATGCTCACAAGGAGGAAATTACACAGAGGGGTTTCCTTCTTTATAAATGTCAAAATGTTCTCCCTAAAATTTACGAGTTTTTTGAACGAAATATTTATAATGCAGTCTGCGGGAAAGATCTTATAGAATATATTTTTAGGGAAAGGTCAAGGGACCCTTTACACGAAAAAAGGGGGAGGAGGTTGTTATATAATATGGGCATTTCCAATTAATTGTGGTAGTGTCCCAATAAATTAGCTAATTAATCCAAGTGTTGCGGTACGACCCCAACTTTACTACAATTTGTCGTTTGCCGCTCGAAGGAACGTATCTCATTCTAAGATTGCAAAATTGAATCAAACAATTCGAATTTTTACGAGAATGTATCCATATAATTTCCTCCCAAATTTTTCTTCTGATTTTTCTTCAAAAATCAGAAGAAAAATCGGTAAAAATTTCAGTTAGAAATGCCCAAGATTCTCTCGGTGAAAAAGGCAATCTGTGCTGGTAAATTTGGCAACATCGAAATGTTGCTACGTTCTTTCGTGAGGAAAGCGAAGAATTTTAGGAAACTTTTTTGCACCAGCCTTTTACGCTGCCATGCTAAGGAAGAATGCCGTATGAGCTTTCAGGCGTTGCCAAATTTCCTTTGAATAAACACGCATTTGTTGGCAAGCTTATGAATTTTTTTCTTCCAGTTTTACAGTAGACTTTGTTTGAAACTTCACCTACATTCCCTGAAAATTTCAAAGTAAAATATTAATAACTTTCCTCATAAATAAACGCTTTATCGAAGGAAATTTGGCAATACTGGAAAGAAAGTCGCTTGGATCTAGAGTCCAGACTCTTGAAAACATTGACAAGATAAAATACTCATGATTCGATCAGATTTTTGCTTAAATTAAAAGGAAATCCGCTCAAATTAAGAGGTTTGGCTCTTGATTTCAGCAACAATCCGATTGAATCAAGAGTATTTTCTCTTGTCGATGTTTTTAAGAGTCTAAACTCTAGATCCAATGTGTTTTTTCCCCAGTGAGTTACGATCGCTGTCGCGGGGAGCGCTGTATGCGTGGGTGCGCCACAAGCAGAGCAGTCTTGGAGACGACTCATACATTAATGCTGCGGGGGTAGATTTACAGCTCGTAGATGTCCTTCTGGGTGAGTCGATTGCAAGCCGGGCGGGAGCGTTTGTCCATGGGCTTGAACATGTCTCGGCCTCGTTGCGGACTCGTGTACGAGTACATGTTGTAGCCCGGGATGATGTGCACCCTCACGTCGCCCGACGGCCGAGAAGCGTCTGTCCGCGTCCGTCTGCTGAAAGTCACCTGAGGACACATCAAAAAGTCTCACAATCAGTTTACTGCTCTGGCATGAGGGAGCGATACACACCGTGGGCTGTATAGTGACGGCTAAACTACAGAAATGCGTACCTCAATGGCGGTGCACCGTGGAACGAGTCTTTGAAAAGAAGTCGGACAAACACTTTTGACAAAATATATAAAAAGATTAAGTCAATCCGAAATTAAGACAATCCGAGCGCCTTCAATTTAGACGCATGCAACAAGGGACGTCCATTGAGTACGAATAGTTGTATTCGGAGTATGAATAGTTGTATGCATCTGTAGTTGAAGGCGCTCGTGTTTGTTACACCTACCAGCCTAACTGTGGGCGGGCGTTTCTCTCTCGGACACGGAAAGAAATTAAATGTTGATTTAGCACTTATACTGTTAAAAAGATGTCCGACAAGTTTCAAATGCTGATTTTACATTTTAACAAATGCTAACGTATGCTAACATGTAAAAAATTAAATTGCCTAATTCGGTTTGGTAATAGCTAATGTGGCTTGGCCCCATCCTGCTTAACGCAGTCCAGTTACATCCCTCCACCCTTTCATTGGATGCTCTCCATGCGCTCCGAAAAATGGACATTGGACCGATTTAAGTTGTTTCTGTTCTATATGGATCTCAGTAACTTCACAAGCGCCTTTAACTTAGACGTATGCAACACGGACGTCCATTGAGTACGAATAGTTGTATTCGGAGTATGAATAGTTGTATGCATCTGTAGTTGAAGGCGCTCGTATTTGTTACACCTACCAGCCTAACTGTGGGCGGGCGTTTCTCTCTTGTAGTTTTGGAACAAGGTGAAATGGACCACGTTGAGCAGAAAGGAACCAAGCCACATCAGCTGTTGCCGAATTTAATTGGGCCATTTAATTTCTCACAAGAGATCGTTTGCGCAGATTCCTTGAAAATTTTTAAGGAATTTGCACTATGCAGAAGATTCACTGAATTTTGCACAAAAATCTACACAATCGTTTTCGTGCAAAAAATTAAGTTGCCCAATTGAATTTGGTGATAGCTGATGTGGTTTGGTTCCTTTCTGCTCAACGTGGTCCATTTCACCTTGTTCCGAAACTACAAGAGAGAAACGCCCGGCCCCAATTAGGCTGGTAGGTGTAACAAACACGAGGGCCTTCAACTACAGATGCATACAACTATTCATACTCCGAATACAACTATTCGTACTCAATGGACGTCCGTGTTGCATACGTCTAAATTGAAGGCGCTCGGATTGTCCTGGCCGTACACACCGTGCAGTTATTATCGTACATTATTAATTGATTGAACATATCGAATCGTATAGTACAATAATCGTACATATTGAATTTGGCAATGGCTGATGTGGCTTGGTTCCTTTCTACTGAACGCAGTCAGATTTATCTGATCGGTCCAATCATACCTTGAGATATTCACAGAATACTCTTTACATAATTAGATAGGACGAATCATCGGAGTTTTCAAGAAAAAGCGTTCAGTGGTTTTCGATGTATGAAATAAATCGTGGCAATAAGTGTGCACCACCGCGAACCGAGTCACGCATTTCTGCAGTTTCACCATCGATACATGGTTGTTTCTTGAACAGCTCATTCCCTTAAGAGCCCCATATGGTTTACATTGTGATTGAATGAGTTTTAAGAGATCCATAACATCGCATCATTAAAATGGGACGATTTGAACAAAGCTCGAGTACAATTCAATAAGGTAACTTCAGAAATAGACCTTCCAGACAGACAGGGATATATCTTAAAATTGCCGAAGCCGTAGAAAGTAAATTTTTTTCTTTTGAATTTTGTAATTTTTTTCAGGAGAAAATCATTATAAATCCTTGTAAGAGACTATTTCTAACGTCATACAAAAGTTCAAGGAGATCTCTGTCATAATGGACCACTAGACAAGGTACAAATTTAAGCAATCTGGATTTATTCTTGGAAATTTAAGCAATCAGAATTTCACGTAGAACACGATTCGCACAACGAAAATTACTGAAACCAACTCCTAACGAAGATATCAACGTTTTTATTTCAGATTGGTTACGAGGAATTTGAACTGCCCGCTCACAAGAAACTCAAAACTCTACGTGAGTCAAATCGCCCACTACTACGGTTCCAGCAAGCTGCTCAATCGAGCAATGTTCATTTCCCACCATGTGTTGTTCAAACTATTAGCAATTTGCTATAGCTGAGCCGAAGCGTCAAGTTTGAGGTTGCCAGATTTTTATATCGCAGAGACTGTCATGAGAACGTTTAGCGCGCGATGTGAATCACGTAGAGCATTGAGTTTTCATGAGCGGGTGGTTTGAATTCACGTATCAAGAATCATCAAATATATTTGGAAGGAGTTGATTTCGGTAATTTTCGTTGTGCGCGTCTTATTCTACATGAAATTTTAGTTGAGAAACATGTATCAGAATGCTGAAATTCGTACCTTGTCTAGTGGTCCATTGAGACGACTTTGACGAATTTTGAGTACAAATCTAACAGTGTAACTTCATGAAATTTATTTTTGGAAAATATTTAAATCACAACATAGATGAACAATCACCTCATCACCTCATCAAAAAATAAGCACATGCCTTTTCGAAAAAATATTGCCGGCTTTTCCAATATTTTCGGGAGTTTCTGCAGGCACATTAAAGTTTGGCCAAATCATAAAATTTTATTTTTAGTATTTGGTACCTATTCTAGTACTATAGCGAATTATCATAAACTCTTGCATGGATCTATCTCCGAAATTGTACTGTTAAATCCTCCTTGAGGTTCGTAAAACGTGTTCCTTCGCCAGCGGGCTGATTATTCAAATTGATAGGCAAAGCAATAGACAAAGGAGACATGAGGACAGTATTGAGCGATCCTATTGGTTGAAATGGGTGGTTCCTGTAGACTAAGGGAGAAAATGATGGACTAACTACAGGGTCTCTCGTGGGTTGCCGTTAATAAGTCTATAATGTACTTCATTTGACCATTGCAATCATCCGCTTCTACCAATAGGATGTCTCCATATCTCTTTTGTCTTCTTTGTCTATAGCTTTGTCTATCAATTTCAATAATCGGCCCGCAGGAAAGAAGCTGTTCAAGGAGCGACTATAAATACGATCCCAAATTTCAATTTATCCGCACTAATGCCTGAAAAGATTAGTGGATATTTGAAGGCGTTTAACGAAAAGGAACCAAAGCCGTTGCTGGAGTAAATTGGACCGCGTCAAGCAGAGAGGAACCAAGCCACATCAGCTATTGCCAAATTTAATCGGGTGATTTAATTTTCTACGTGTAAACTGTTGTGCGGATTTTTGTGCAAATTTCAGTAAATTTTCTGAATACTACGAAGCAAATTCCTTGTGATTATTAAAAAAAATCAGCACAAACTTTCTCTCGTAAAAAATTAAATTGCTAAGGTAAATTTGGCAATAGCTGATGTGACTCGGTTCCTTTCTGCTCAACGTGGTCCATTTCACCTTGTTCCGAAACTACAAGAGAGAAACGCCCGGCCCCAATTAGGCTGGTAGGTGTAACAAACACGAGGGCCTTCAACTACAGATGCATACAACTATTCATACTCCGAATACAACTATTCGTACTCAATGGACGTCCCTTGTTGCATACGTCTAAATTGAAGGCGCTCGGATTGTCCTGGCCGTACACACCGTGCAGTTATTATCGCACATTATTACATGTAAACGGTTGTGCGGATTTTTGTGCCCGATTGTGAACCACACAAACATCAAATTTGGTGTCCTTCATTTCCTCTCTTTGCAAGCAATGAAAGGGTGAATCAACGAGCTAAGTGCGAGTATCGGTACAATCTTCTACAACGTTGACAAGTGAAGAAGATTTCGAAATTTATTCCAAGAATTTAGTATTTAAATTGTTAAAGTCAAATTGGGCTAATATCATGTCACGCGATACGCAAGAGCGCTTTCCACCCTACTCTCGAAGCAAAATATTACAGTGTAAATATGGCGGGAATATAATGAAAATGTATCACTCTTTGTGGAGAAACCCGGAAGTTTTCCATATCAATAGGCATATTTCTGTCTAACTCGTCTTTCCCATTAGAGAGGAAGAGGAGGGGGATGTGGAGGAAAGGGGCGCGCAATTTTGGCGCCCCTAAGGTTGGCGCTTCACTCGAGTAAGTACTTTCCGCGCCCCTCGCGACGAGCCTGGAGGCAGTTGCGAGGCGTGTTCTGCGATAAATCGATTGATCTGCCATTTAAACTTATGGAAAAGGATCGATAAACAGGAAGTTCGCAACGAACACCTTAATAATCGATACTTTGCCACAGCTTCAAATGGAGAAATATCGAAAATCGATTATTCACGCCTCGCTACTGGCCTGAAGGGAGCCAACTTTTTCGGAAAAATGAGGTCTGCTTGTTGTACGTGGTTGGCAAGATTCCACTTTTATTCTAGTGAGGAATATTTGCACAATATTACGCCGAAAGGAATTGCTGTTTCTGGCTCATTTAAAAAACAAGCTATGTGCTATTCGTTTTCCTTTGCAGACAAATGAGCCTTTCTATGGATAGAGCAAAGATTTTAATTGCTTATTGATCAATGCTGCCCATTTAGTGTTATAAATTTAATTTGACGAATTTTTCAGCAGCTACATAAAGGTCGAAATTTGATTATTCATTCGTGTATTTTGTTAGTCGGCTCTTTACTCTTAATTAGAGTAATTGATAATATGTTGAATCATGGAGGAAGAATAAATAATCAGCTGGCTCCTTGAAATTGCTGAAGAGTAAGATTTAATTCATGAAAAGGTACGAAATGCCAAATGATTTACCTATATCGTCATGGAGGCTTTGCCAACCTAGCAGCGAGTTGACCTTTCTTCCCCTAATTACTTTGGTTCCCTTTCCCTGAGCAATCGAAAAAATATTGGAAGACCTTCGACAGCTTTTAAAAGCAAATTTTCCATGTAATCTCTACTTCCTTAAGAGGAAAGCGTTGACCTCCAATAAACTGGCTTAAGTACACGTTTGGACAGTTTTTCCTCGTATTCATTTCGTCACGTTTTACGAATGAATAATGCCAATATGATCTCAGTTGTCTCAAGTTCTCATCATCCACATAGGCCGATAGCCAAACTAGTTTTTTGGATTATCCAAGATTTAGTAGATCTAGATTTAGTATACCCAAATATCTCAGGGAACAATGGAAACTTACTTCTGTTTTGAATCCCCTTCAGTGCTCCTGACGCAACCAGTTTATCTCTGAAGCAAGTTTGATCGCCCGGACCGAGGACATACGGATTCATAATCGGATGTAAGTATCCCAGAAGGTACCCGATGAAGATGAAGGACCGTATTGATAGTCATTTCATGGACAGCACCTACCCTGGGAGAGGCTCCAGCACAGTTGTGTACATATTGTAATTAAAGGGCGTTTTAGGAGAACTCATGGAGAAATATTTTCCAGATTATCTGTGGGAACGTTCTGTTATTATTTTCCTCGCTCAACTTCCTGTTTAGACACGCGAAATTCCTATTGCCCCAATGGGAATGTTATCACAACAATCAGAGCCCACCGAGACAAGAAGAACTTTGGTCCAAAAAAAAAAAATGCGATTGGTAAAATATTGATAGAATGTTCCTCTTGATGCTCCGAGACACTGTATACACGAGGATAATTTTCAGGGACTATTATAGTGAAATTCCGCAAGATAACGAGCTAATGGAGACTCGGCAGATATTTAAATGATTTTTCATCGTAAAAATTAAAGAATAACAAGTAGAAAATACAATTGTCGCAGAAAAATTTTAGGGGCCCTTACGTAATCATCCTAACGCATATTTGACCGAGCATATTTATATTTTCTATACCTAATGGCAAATCGTTCGAATCTCATCCATAGGAATCCATTTTCGATGTTATTTTGTTGATTTTAGCTCAATGTTTTCTAAAATTTCCTTTTCCTAAGGCCTCCTCAAATCAACCTAAAGGCCGTATTTACAGTAGTTCACTAAACAAGCGACTTCCCCTTATGATTTGCAATGTAATTACAGAAAGATTTTCATGTAGTGTAGCATAAGAAAAGACAATTTTTACAAACCTTCAGTACGATTTCTCGGTTTAATTTTTGAAGTACCTTCTTGCAAAAGATGTTATTGATTTGCCACCACTGAAATCATAAAATATAGGAGGAAAAAATCGCAGGGTTCTCAAATTTGAGCGTAAATTTTAAGCTCAAACGCCTCGTCCACGCGGGCAAGTTTCGTGGAAATTCGGGCAAACTTGCTCCAAGAACTTATATAGGTATCTCAACTACATCTCATTTCGCGAAACCCCTCAGATCATTGAACTTCTTCGCCTCTGCAAAAGTACAAAATACTGAAGAAATTTTATGATTTTGACACACTTCAACCCTCTAAGGCATTAATTAATTTTGGATCGCAGATTCTGGGGAAAACTAATCCATTTTATAGCTTGCATACAAAACCTGGGGTACTACATTTTTGTTCAAACTTTTAAATTTTTGGAAATCAGTTATTCAAAAAATAAAAAACTCATGAAATTTGCAAAATCACGCCACAGAGGAGAGATATTGATTTTTAAAAACCCAAAAAATACGTTGTGGTGAGTGCGTAACGCTATGCCATGGAGGGTTAAGGTAAATTCGAACCTACCATAAAATTTTCAAAACTCTCAATGTGTTTTCTTTCGTTTTTTATACTTTTTGAAGTGATAAATCATTGTAAACCCATCCGAGGGTTAATTTCAAAAGTTATACTGTTGAATTGCACTTGAGGTTGGCGAAAATTGTCCTTTTTATGATATCATTTTGAGGGTTTCCTTAAACATCACAATGTATACTAAATGTGGCCCCCTTAGGAAAAGAGCTGTTTCAGGAACGACTATGAATACGGCCCTAAGTATACGACCTCTCTAATCGCAACGTAACCCGCATAGAGCCTCTCTAAGGAAAGGAGCTGCGGCTGGTGAGACCCAGGGACTTCAACCTATGACCATGAATACGGGCCGAGGAGTTTGGTGTGTGTGGACTCACTGTGGTCTTGCAGCAGCAGTAGTGGAAGAGGTTGATGTAGGCGTTGCGGAAGTGGCGGTTGGCGACGCAGTAGAGGAGGTTGTTGAAGCAGGACTTGGAGAGGGCGAACCAGGCGAGGTTGTAGAAGAGGTAGGCGGAGACGTTGCGCACCGAGGTGACGGCCACCGTGACGACGAACGGCGACCAGAAGATGAGGAACATGAGGAAGGAGTACATGTTGGCCTGCATCAGGGAGTAGTCCCACGTGAACGCGATCGAGGGCTTGAAGTCGGGATTCGTCCGCGCCAGCTTCACCTGGTACGCGATCCGCAGGTACAGCACGATCGTGATCAGCACCGGCACCAACAGGAACATCCCCGCAATCACCGCCTGGTAGGGGATGATACCCGGCAGCACCTGAGAACAACACGATAGACAAAATCAGAACCAAACCCCTGGACAGTTAACCCCTAAAATCACCGAACGTATGTAGGGTTGCCTAACATACTATTTGAAGGCGTTACAGTACCGGTTCCATTCAACCCTAGGTTAAATTGGTGCTAGGTCAAAATGTGCAAACCCAGAATGTCCAAAATGTCCCAATGTCCAAAGCCAACTCACCCATTGCCCGTAGGAACCAGTGTGTATAACATGTGTAAACAACGATAACAACCCCGTAGACACATCAATTCAACAAGAAAATAGCGAAAAATAAGGCCGGAGTTTGACCCCTTTGCCTCCCCGTAACTCGAAAACGGTTCCTATTCTCATCTTGAAATTTTTTCCTGAGTTTTCTGTTATTATAAGCTTATACTTGAACCTTGGTTCGATGGTAGAATCGGATACCGAAAAAGGGGCGAAATTTTTGGAGGCTCTTTACCAATAAGTTCTTATGGTTTCGAACGCTCCATGCACAGATAAGTGCGAGGAAATTATCCCCTAAACTTTCCCCGTTCTGAGAAGTCTTTCCGGCAGCCGTTTTCATTCGAGGTAACATGTGAGTTCTGGGATGCGGGCAATTATAAAATCGTTTGCACTCAGCAAACTGGAACTTCACAAAGGGTGTGTTCAACGTTGCTCACTAAGAGTGGAAAAGTCAGGAGGCTTCCTACTAAAAGCATCTCAAACATTATTCTCCAGAAAAGTTTCCGTTTCCAAAGTTTACCTTCGCTCCTCTTAAAGGAACATGGGCACTTTCGCAATTGCATTATTTGTGATTATTATAGCATTAGAACAATCGGCTTCGAATTTGAATAAAACTATGAAATCCTACTTGTAATAACTCGTAAATAAATGTCTGAAACGCATCTTCTTTTTACAGTATATACTACAAAATATTCTGTATTTTTCACTGTTCTTTCAAAGTGTACTGACTGGATTGGCACCTTACATGCTTAAGAGGTTGTTCAATTTTCTCGCGTGTTTGATTTTTTTAACAGAAAATGATGTAGTACCATTCTGACTTGAAAAACTCTCCATAATCTAGAGAAAATTTGCAGAAATGTTCAAAATGTTAAGTTTTCTAGTTTTCTCTTGGAAAAATTGAGATGAAAAAAATAAGGCAAAATTGACTTGTGGATCGGCTGACCCTGATGAAAGGCATTCATTCAATTGATTTTGGAAAATGGTCATTTTGTCGCAAAAAACGATTCGGACAGCTGCACCCACCCAGAGAGCTTTTCTAGGTATCTAATTTAGGTTTCTCTTTCAATGCTTGAATTTTTTCTTCTCATATTTTACTGTGTTTAAATATTTTCCATCCGTCGATAGCGCTGGTACAAAAGTGATTGAACTAAGAGGACTGCATTTAGCAAAAATGAATCAGCGCGATTTCACTGTTGTAAAAATGTCGCCTCTTCATAATTATCTATATATCTCTCTTTATAGCAAAAATTTTTCCTCCCCCACCAAAAAATTGTTAATTTTTACTGAAAATTACTGGGCAAGTTTTAATATTGTACATATATGGAGTATTTTTAAAAGGAAAGAAGAAGTTGCACAATTTTGAAAACGCTGTAATTGTGCTGGTTCCTTTTTGCTAAATAAACGTATTTCTATGTGTACGAACTATGTGCATTAATACATGAGCCCTGAGATCCATAAGAATATATAAATAGCAGGGCTCACGTCATAATGCACATAGTTCCGTTTGGCGGAAATACGTCCAAATGCGATCCAAGTATTCTAGGATCACGATTAGTAGCGCCAATAGTTTTGCATGAAATCAACCAACAATCTCAGACAACGCTCGTCGGTTACGTTGAGTACATTGAGCACCTAGTATATGTTGGTACGAGATACGATTGTGGGAAAGTTAGGGTGCGTGTGCATGTGTGCAACCAAATTCTCTCCGCATAGACGTAGATGTAAATATGCACTACACCCGAGTTGCTTCGAGACAATTCAAGTCCCCACATCAGGCGCCAACTTTGCTAATGAATTCAGCCCTATCGCTGCACTCTAACTAAGAGGCTTTAATTAATTAAAGAAATGAACTCCATCGAAGTGTGTTCGTGATCAGCACTTTCACGCCAACGCGTTGCTCCATCAGTTTGCCGATTTTTGTACCTACAGCCTCAGCTGATTCATTCAGTTTGATAAAATTGAAGTCCTGCTGCACAGCTGACATTGGTTGCACACATTTTTATTTCGCCTTCAATTTTCGAGGTAGGCGAGAAAACGTCCTTCGTGCAGCGGTAGTTACCTATTCGAAAATTCATTTCTTTCGTGTAACCTACCTCGCAGAATATTATATTTGACTCCATTTAATGATTTTTTAAGCAGCTTTGCATTTACACTCAAGTCTCTATTTGTGATAGTAAAAAAGGAAAGGATTTACTGAACATCAACTTACTCTCAAAATACTTTGAAAAAACAGCGCTCCCCTTATGGATATGTAAAAAACGCCACTGGTTGAGCGAGTTCAACAGAAGAGGAATTCTTTTTTATTTCTTTCTTTTTTAGATAAAAAACTAGGGTTCTCTTTGTTGTGAAATTTTCCTTTTATTTCTCATAAAGAATCGTTTATATTTAATTTTAATTTTAAGTTGCAGAAACTGTCTTTGATTAAGAGAATCAAATTTGTGAGGTAATGGGGGAAAAATGCAATAACGTTTTTTCGAATTTTTATTGAAATTACCTTCTCTTCGTCTCTCCTAAATGCAAAGAGGTCTAAATTAATTTTGAAAAAAGAACCCAGATGAAACATTCGTCGATAGCGACTTGATCGGACCATGATTCCCCGAGAGGCGGACTTAGCAGTTTGGCAACACTGGCTTTTCCCCATTTAAACCTGCAGTGGCGTGGCATGAATTGCGATAGATCGAGTGTTATGCCATTTGAACCTATGGTAAAGAATCGATTATTAAGGTGTTCGCTGCGAACACCCTATTTATCGATCCTTCTCCATAGGTTTAAATGGCATAACAATTGATATATCGTAATTCACGCCACGCCACTTTAAACCTGGGATGAATAATGAATTCTTGTTGGAGCACCCGGCCTCTCCAAGAATCAATTCATCTCCATAGATCTGAATCAGGAGAGAAAAATGCTGCCAACTTGGTGTAGCCACCAATGGATTTGCCCCCAATGAGGGTTCGTTCAGAGTTCAATGGAGGGTATGGATTCGATCAACGTGAATCGATCGGAAAATGAAAAAGTGAATCGATCAACGTAATTTGATCGACACCGAATCGATCGACGGTTAATTAAAAAAACCCAGTGTCAATTCGATCGATAATCGAAAACGTGAACCAATCGACGTGACTCCATCGACACCGATTTGATCGACAAAGTTCGATCAACTCACAGGTTTGTCGATCAACTCACGGGTTTGTCGATCAATTCATGCGCTGGGTTTATCGATCGACTCACGGCTTTTGTCGATCAATTCACAGATTTTGTCGTCTGACTCGCGGTTTGTCGACCGACTCACTGGTTTTGTCGATTAATTCACGGGTTTTCAGATCGATTTACGGATGTGTCGATCGATTCATAGATTTGTCGATCCATTCAGGTTGTCGATCGACTCACTGGTTTTGTCGATTAGTTCACGAGTTTTCAAACCGATTTACGAATTTGTCGATCGATTCACAGATTTGTCAATCTATTCACGGTTGTCGATCGAATCAGCATCGATCGGTTCACGTCTTCATTTTTTGATCGGTTCACGTCTTCATTTTTTGATCGATTCATGTCGATGGAATCCATACTATCCGGGTTCAACGATGAACAGACCCCATTATTTATTATAAGAACCATACCACACCATCTACCATCAGAAGAACGGAACTGACCTTCTTAGCACAGTAGTCGGGTCCGAGGCGGTAGTACTGCTGTAGGAAGGCGAGGAGCGCGCTGATGATCCAGACGAGGATGACGGTCACCGTGACCCGGCGGGAAGTGATGACGGAGTAGACCTCGGCCGAGAGGCAGAGTCGGGTGTAGTTCTCGGCGGCGGTGAGCGTGAAGGAGAGGACGGTGACGACGAAGCAGAGGATGGCCACGAACCACTGGAACTGGCACACCTGCGGGGGGTCCTCCATCCCGGCCAGGAGCACAACCACCGACAGAGGGATCACGAACCCGCTGATCAGAAAGTCCGCCAGCGCTACGTTCGCGATGAATGTGTTGCCTGCGAATTAAAGCAAAGCGCTGAGGGGTGGCTCATTTAACGGAAAGGAACCAAGCCGTACACTGGTAAAAAAAACCTCTTGGACCAATGCCGCGGCGCATTGACTTAAGAATGCTGTTTCTTGTCGCCGGATTTAAGAGTCTTGAACTCTTGTTTCAAGCGGATTTTGCATTGAAGAAACTGCACTCTTGAACCAAGAGGTTTTCTTTACCAGTGTATCCGCTTACCAAATTTAACTGGGCAATTTAACTTCAAGATAACTTGACAAGAGAACGATTGTGCGGATTCCTTTGAAATTTTTCAAGAATGTGCGGATATTTGGGCAAATTTTAGTGAAATTCCTGCATAGTGCGCAGCGAATTCCTCAAAATTTCCAAAGGAATCCGCACAAACGTTAGCTTGAAGAAATTATACTGCCCAGTTAAATTTGAAAATAGCTGATGCGGCTTGGTTCCTTTTTGCTTAACGTGGTCCGTTTCACCTTGTTGAAACTACAAGAGGGAAACGCCCGGCCCTAATTAGGCTGGTAGGTGTGACAAACACGAGCGCCTTCAACTACAGATGCATGCAACTATTCATACTCCGAATACAACTATTCGTACTTAATGGACGTCCGTGTTGCATTCGTCTAAATTGAAGGCGCTCGGATTATCCTGGCCGTCGGGTCTCGTCGTAGGAATTTGCATTATGCAGGAAATTCAATGAAATTTTCACAAAAATGTGAAAAACCGTTTTCATGTAATAAAGTAAATTGCCCAATCAAATTTGACAATAGCTGATGCGGGCTTGGTTCCATTCTGCCTAACGCGGTCCAAATAAAGCTTTAGTGCGTATAGGGGATTTGCAAGTTAAGTACTTTTCCTTGCGAGAAATTTCTCAACAAATACGATGGTGTCACGGGTTTTCTCTGAAACGAACTCCAAAGCTCAGGAAAAGCTCTTAAAGTTGAGGCCGTAATGGAAAGGATATCCCACGCTACCCTGAGAGTCTACCTCTATATCAAGTCATTCTCTCCATACTAGGATGACAGAGAGCAAATGCATCCAGAAAAGTTGCCGTGTTTCCAGTTTTGGAATCGCCAAACAATGTAACAACCCTATTAATGTATTTGCTCCCTATCTTTGTATGGAGAGTATGACTTGATGTGGAGGTGGACTCTCAGGATAGTGTGGGATATCTCCTCTACTACGGCCTCAACTTTGAGAGCGTTGGAGTTCGTTTCAGAGAAAACCACTTACGCCATCGTGTTTCTCGCTGAATTTTGCATTGAAATCAGTATATAAATCGCAAATACCTGACACATACAAGGCAGCATGTGTCAGTACAAACGGACCCCTGTCTATTTAATGGAGCTCTTGTATGCGTCAAGTATTTACGATTTACGTACTGATTGATAATGTATGATGTACCTCTAGAGAGGATCGCGTTTGGAATGAGAGAGTATGACGGATTCCGAACAGACCTTCGAACATGATTTTCATACAAAACAATACATATTGTATGCAGAATAGGACATATAATGCGTTGTCGAAGAGGGACCTAACTTGGGCTCCATAATTCACATGGGAGTAGGCGCAATGAAGGAGGTTGCCCGCGGTGAGATTGGGGATGAAATGCTGTTGTGTGAGATTTTCGAGATAGGGTTTAATCTCAAATAAACCAAAGGGGGTGCCGTAAAAGCGGCATATCTACACTACCGTGTTAGAAAAAACGGAGTATGAACATTCGAGAGTTGCCAAATGTCGTCCAATAAAATGTTTATTTTTAAGCAGAGTTATGAGTAATTTATCCTTGAAATTTTCAGATAATTTAAGGCTGATTGCGAATCAAATTCTCTGGAAATTTGGCGGAAAATAATCCCAAATTTTCCCGAAAGTTCATATTTTATCAAAGGAAATTTGGCAACGTCTGAATGCTCATACGGCGTTCTTCCGTAGCACAGAAGTAACAGTAGCGCGGCATGCTTTGCTATAAACCGATTTCTGCAGTTGAAACATATGGAAAAGAATCGATGAACAGGGTGTTCGCAACGATCACCTAAATAGTCAATTGTTCACCACAGCTTTCAATGAGGAAATATCGATCATTAACGCCTCACCACTGAGAAGGAGGTGCATATCTTTGGATAATGATTTCAGCAAAATTCTGGAACAGATTTCGTTACTTTTGGCTGATCGTAAGTTTCAATCGTCAAAAACGATTTAATGACCATCGCACGGATCCCTTGTGGTTCAAATGGCATCGTTGAAGTAAGTCAAAGCTGAGATGCGGGTTGGAGTGCTTACCTTTTTTCTTGAGGTGGTCTTCAATCATGACCGAGCTGATCATGTAGACGTTGCCTATGCTTCCGATGACGCAGAGGGCCAACATGATGAGGAGTCGCCACACTCTGCTCCAGTCGTAAGCGAGCTGGACCGGAGATATTCCGCCAGCGTCCAGCATGGGGCTCAGGGTCATCTCCATGATCGGGTACTCCTCGTGCGTTTGGTTCATCCTTCGCAAAACAAACCATAATGTTTGCATAAGTTTAATATCTACAACGCACACCAACAAAAAAAGGGAGCGCCGGAACGCCCGTAATTACGTAACGCACTTTTTTGACCCCCTTTCTCCCATAGTAACGTTTCGTAACGATACCCCCGACTCCCCTCAATAGTGACGTAACGCTTCATGACCCCCCCCCCCTCTCAGATCCAAGCAATTGTGGAAAACTGTTGAAAATAAAAATGAATACAATTTGCAGTATTTTTAATTGCTGCGCAGACCGTCGATCGGTCGCAATCGTCTGGCGACCAGTAATAAAATGCGCGAACTTTCTGAAAATTTTGCGTGTTTTTTTTACACCAATAGAGAGGGTTACGTAACGCTGGCACTGACCTTCCCTCCCTCTTGGAACGCAACGTAACGGAGGTTCTTACCTTCTCCATCCCCTGTCCTAGAAGTTCACTCGATTTATGAACTCTTTCCAATGGATTGGATTGTACCCTTTAAAAAGAATGACAACGAACTTCAATGGGTATGAATAGGAGAAGGAGGTCCAGGGAGTTGAAATTCCTTCATGGGGTATCAATCATTCATCCGAATTTTCGGGGAGTTAGGAACGCATTTTGACAAGGAATGGGGTCTTGCTGGAGAAAGAGAGTGATAATTCAAAAAATTTGCAAGATCCTCTAAATTGACCAAAATCGCTTAAAAAAACTTCTCTGAGCCCACGCACAGGGGATATTGTCCTTTTTTTCTTTTTTACTCTCTTTCTTTCTTTTTCTTTTGCTAAAACGCCAGTATCTGCCGAAACTGTTTGCTTAGTTCAACCACGCCAGAATCTAGGACAAATCACCTTAACCGCGACGAGACGAACCTCGATCGTCGCACTTTTCTTATTATTCCGCTCACAATAGCCCGACGAACAGGGTAACTTTTGAACTTGGCCGCGAGACAGGGGTTGGGAAAGCGTTTAAGCGTGACCTTAGAGCTTGGGGTTACTGTAGGTTTTAAGCCGTCGACCGAATGCCGAGTCACGTAATAGCGAGTCGACGTCCCTTCAAATTGATTCCCGCGTTGAGGTTAGGTTCGCGGCGAGCTTCATTTAAGCTCCCGGCGTTCGCAGGTGGAAACCGGAATGGAAATTTCTCCGACGCAGCGTGAAATTGTGCTTTTAGCTCCTGATATGGCAACCGGGTTCGCGAAAGTGTAAGTGAACTTTGACAAGCTACATTTGTCCCTGTTTGGGCGGATTTCGTGACGGGATGAGCGACGGACGCCCGACACGATGTCGCCTGCCTGTTGCCAAGTCGGAAGCTTCAACCCCTCGATGATCAGGGGTGCAAATTTAAATTTGACGAAATTTTAGGAGTAAACCCTTAAGTCTTATGATATTTCATTTGTAATCTAATGAAATTGCTTCTCTGATTTTATGAAACTAGGGATTACGCTTCCTATCCGTTTCGCGGCTCAACCTCCGGAATGCTTCGCGTCTCAGGCGGTATGCGTTACACGTCAATCTCTTGATTGTATGCTACACAAAGTATGAGGGTTTTTTTTTTCTTTTTTCTTTTTTTTTGCTGAAAATGCTGTAAAATTTCGTTGAATGTCCAAAGATTGTGTATACAGCGTGCAAAGAATAACAATCGAAAAACTGATGAGAAATCGAAGTTCGACTGACCATTATGTTTTCTTCCCCCCCCCCTCCCCTCCATTTTGCAGATTTAAGGACTGAGTTTTTACTGATGGCTTCCGTCATTCAAATATTTTTTAAAAAAATATTGAAACCCCAAAATATCTCATGAAATTATATTTCACAGGAGTTTGAAGAATTTTTTTGTATTCCTGATTGCCTATCATCCTTGATCACGGAGCAATACGGTGGCTTTTACACGGTTCGTGTGAAATTTCAGTATGAGTATCCATTTTCATACAATATCCCATTTCAGGGAGCTTGGAGACGATGTCTGCAGTGAATGAATAAGTTCCTACCAGACTAATAGTATACAGGGTGTTTCGGAGTATATGAATCATTCTTTCGTCATTGGTTTTGGTTACGCAAAAATGTGGGTCGAGGGTTGAAAAGTGAATTGAATCAAATTTCAGGAGCACCGGCTGAAATAATTTTCAACGGGTTCATTTGATTACAGTCTGTGACATTAGCTGCAGATTGAATTACCATTGAAACGCATTTTTGCAGTGCGTTTACTAAGCAGTTTCCTGTTGTATTCCTAATAAATTGCCTACATTCTTGTTTGAGGGGAGTAACCCGATTCTCAAGATAAAATAGCTTAAAATCTAGAGAAATTGATTATAAATTGACTAAGAGTCGCGACTGCGAAGCGAAACAGACGTATCATATTGTAAACTTAATTCTGAAATCTAGCATTCGGAAAAAGGAAGATCTCCAGAGAGATGCTGCATCTGAAATCCAGGAGTCCGACACATCAGTCGAACAAACTCAGATAATACCAAAGATTTTAACGCTATTGACAAATAGTCCAAAACCTGCTCATCCTTGCCTAAAAAAAAAAAAAAAAATGTGAGCAAAGGGCATCCCTCAAACATCTTACATCAACGTAAAATTTATGAAAAACGAAGCTATAGCGTTTGAGCTTGACCAAAAATAATCCAGATTTCATGGTCTGGAAGCTTTCTTGTGCTTGAAACCATACAAAACAATAAGAACGAAAATCGTGACCTACTTTTTGCTTTTGATCGTCAAGCTACAACTTAGCTTTACGAATGTCAGACTCAGCGCCCAACCTAACCCCGCTACCTCCTTTTGTATCCACGAACGGGCTTTGAAATCACGAAATTCAGATTCCTGGAATCGATTACTCTCGCAACCGTAACTTTTAACAGCTGCTTTGTGTCAATTTAGCGACCCGGCATGTTAAGAGCGAAGAGGAGGAGGGAGAAAAGCTCTAACATGGAGGGTCGCACGAATTTGGAGAATAATTGGCCGATTTTGAACATTTTGGTATTGGCCTGCATGCGTTAATCAGCTCAAAATGGCGAAACTTTTCCTCATCGTTTTCATGATTTTCGAGATATAGGATTTAGTACTTTCACCATTCATTTATCGGACAACAGTACCGATGGTCAAAGTGAAATACCACGCTTACAATTTCCGCAATTATTATTTTTTTTTTCATTCCAAGAGAAATAATCCTTTATAGCGTGAAATTTAAACAGAATATTTTGCCAATAGAGAAGAAATCAAGGCAGTTTTGAAGGAATTAGTCAATTGCATTTCCGAAGAAAAAATGAAGTACGACAGGAATTCTGCAACGTCGCAAACTGAAATAGGTCATTTAATCTTAGCCATCGATATTATCGAACATGTATAACATCAACGACTGTTCGTGAATCGTGTTTCTATCTCACGAAGACGAACAAATCGAAGAGATCGTGTTCTTAACCTCATCATAAAATTGAAAAAACAAAAAATAAAATATTAAATTAATAAATTAAGAACTGCGATGAATGCGGTCACTAAATCTGAGTGTAAAGTAACAATGTGAATAACAACTATGTTTGGCACATCTCATGTCTGGTCTCTTCTAAACCCAAAGTTTGATACGATACAAGAGCTCGGTTGGTTTACCCGACCTTCGTCAATCGTGTAAACTTATCCGAGGTTCAGCATTCTAAGCACATCGCACCGCAAAATATACTTGTTAACCGCCATCCCTGAAAACTTCACCCCTTTCTCACTTGTCTCGTCAAAGGCTCGCAGCTTCCGATATAGAGGACGATGAGAGTTTATTTTCACCCTCTGAAAACAAGAGAATGAAAAGGAGAACGAGCTCAAAGAGTAGGTGTAGATTTTGAAACAACGTTAATGTAACGTTACTGTTAACGCTATTGTACCAATGAATGAATAATTTTAATCTTGAATAAATTGAACGGCTTTAACAAGCATCACGCTGATAAGAATATGGTGAATCCATTTTGAGTTTAGGCCTTGATCAATGCCAGCAAAATGCGCATGAAAACTAATCACAGAGGACACTGATCAGCACTGAAGTCTTTTTCGTCAAATTTTACTTGACGCTGGTCAAAACTGTCGTTAGTTTTCTTTGCACTGACCTAAGTCTCTTTCAACGCCGATTCAAGCGTTTTGGAATTTATGTCAATTTCAAATGTGTCCGGAAGGCAAATGCCTCTTGTTACCCTGCTCACCTAGATATAACATTTCATTCGACAACGCTCGATGTAACTAATTATGCACTTTGTTACCCAACGGAATCCGTGACTTTCATGCATGACAAAATGCAATATACATACGACTAACTGTAAGCCCCGAATCTGCGAGAGATTCACTGTCATGCTAAGGCAGAATGCCGAATGAGGATTCGAACATTGCCAAATTTCTCCTGAAAAATATATTAACTGAAAGGGAAGTTATGCGAATTAGGTCCGAAAAGTCACACTTTTCATGAGAAGAAAATAGCGTTTACGCAATGAACAAAGTGTCAGGTAAACGTCGGTGAGGTCATGCGAATCACATTTTGAAATAAAAGGCTACCATTTCTGGCTCATCTCTGAAAGAACCTATCTGCACAGGGAAGCTAATGGCACGTACGCTATTTCTAAAATGAATCAGTAGTAGTTGTTCTTGAACCAAAGTGCATAACGTAATCCATTTAATGTTTCTTCTTGGTTTCTTACATATTGGATTCATCAATCAGTAATACACACATAATGCTGGAATGCTAGACTTAAAACACGGACAAGACCAAGGTGGAAAAAACCAAGGGTGTCACGACCGTGGTGCGGATGACGTCAAAAACCGAGTTTTTTAAAATACAGAGTCTCCGTTAATATTGACCGTAGAAAATTGTTGTTTGGACAAATCTTGATATTTTTAGCTTATCTACAGGAATCGAGTATCAAAACACGATTCTGTGACTAGCGCAACCGACTCATTGATCCATTAGAAAATTTTTTTCAGTCCGGTTTTAACGTCAAATATTTTTACTTCAAATTCTTAGATTCATTAGATTG